TTCCATAGGATAAAGACCGACGCTGAAAAGTTTTTTACGAGCATTTTTGTCACTCAGAAATGAAGGTATAGAGGAGGTCGGAGACAGGCGATTCCAAGCTGCTGCTGTTCGATGAGAAAAGGCTCGCTTGGTGGCTTCCAGTTCACTTAGTGAGAGGCAAGCCACTTCCAGTGGCTTGCCTCTGACCACTCAAATAACTTTTTAATCAATCGGGGTGCACACCGTAACTCGGAAGTTTGGTTATAAGCAAACTATAATCAACGCTGTCGAAAGCCTTGGATAGATCGACAGCTGTAAGCGAAGGTATCTATCCGTTGTAGATGTTTATCACTAGCCCGCCGACAGCATCGAGCAGAGCATTTTCAGTACCGTGACCTTGCCAGTAGGCATATTAAGCACGGCTGAGAATACTATTGCTGTGGAGATACGTGCCCAGCTGACTGCGAGCGACTTTTTCAAGAACCCTGGATAGAACACCTATGAGAGACATAGGCCTTTTGTTGACTAGTACAGCCGGTTCACCTTATTTCAGGGCGTGTCATTACTGATCACAACGAACCGGGCTGCGCGTCTCTGGTTTTCATGATTCGATGTCTCGGCTCAGAACAAAATGGGTTGCATTTGAAGCTGGTTTCGAAAATAATGACCTGGTGGCCTTCCGATCTACAACTGACGCATCTTTGTATCGAACGGCAGTGAGACCGCCTTACGACTTGTGGACGGTACATTTGCCCTCGCCGTACGACAGTTCGAAAAAACGAAAACAGGTGGATCCATGGTTAGCGCATGAGGCCGTCAGGGTTTGCAGACACTGACCCACACTTTTGACAGCACGTTGTCCGTGTACGCTGTTGTCAGCAATTGTTAAAGGGAGTGTTCCACATTTGCATGAAATTTTGAACTGAAATAGGCCTCTTGAAGAGCATTCGATGCAGGTCACAGCCCTGCTCTTCTTAAGACCTAAAAACACCTACTTTCCTTAACCTTCTTTCCTAAAAACCCACTTTCTGAGCTGCACACCCAAGAAGATGTGCAAACTATTTCGGGATGACTATTTCAAGGTCACCCAGACATCCATGACGCCATAGTGTCCACGTCTGCCATTCCATAAGCCAAGCGGCAATGAAGGACATAATTGGTGAGTTATTCACGTCCGACTTCGTGAACACGATTTGTAGATATAACAGCCGGAGATAACGGTTAATGTGCTCTCAATCAATGTTGTACAGGTTGCGATGACGTAATCCAACAATGACGTAATTAGGAGCATATTTACTTAACAGAGAAATTGTGTTGTCTAGAGCAGTCTTCTCCGCTTAAGAGCATGTCAATAGATACAAGTGAGCTTATTTCATCATATCTGGTGCTTGTTTCAATATCTTCAAACGTGGAATATTTCCTTTAACACGAGCTCGGGTGGCGGGTAAACTTTACTCCCTGAAAGTTTTTACAGAACAATTTCATAATGGCGCGGCATCGCCAAGGAAAATTGTACACAGCTGCAGGCATTGGAAGTGGATATTTTGGCATAGTAAAATACGCTTACCTTGTAAGGTCGCTGACCTACGGCAGGTCCGTCAGGCCGTGACTGCCAACGAAGGCAATTTGTCGGGATCCGTTCAATCTGATGTTACAACGGGATGCTAGGCGAAGCCGTACATTTATCGGAGTTTCGTTGGCAATGACATAGTTGAGCTCAGGACTGCGGCAAATTTCATTGACCTCGGCCCAGATATGAGGCTGAGACCGAGGTCTAAAACAACCTGCTTCTTTGCTCGCGAACTTTTGCTTTCTTACTCGCTTCTGATGCTCGTTCCAATTATTTTATTAACATGGATTGCGTCAGCCATCCCCTGGACTTCTCTAACGTCAGAGTGAGCCACTGACCTAAAATTACCAAGGTCAACATATTGTTTTAGCAACACACCACCTGGCGTAATCCTTAACGCTTCTGCAAGTGCAAAAACAAAAACAATTTCTTGTGCTTTTGGTCACCATGAGCTTTTCTGAGTCAAATAAGGTCACTGACCTCAAATGAGCACTGGTGACTTTTTGCTTAAAACAGGTATCTACGATCAAAGGGGTTGCATGAGGAGGTTTGCGGGCACTTTGTACCCCGATCCGGAGAATGAACCCGTTTGACCCTATTTTATCCGAAGGTCAAGATCTACAAACCTAAAATTGTGAGATAAGTAAGTTCACATACACATAAGCTTACCATGTAAATTTGATTTTTCTACATCCCTTAATTTTTTAGATCTCAGGGGATTAGTTTGATCCACCCCTGAGCGAACGGCATTCGACCGGCCGGGCGCGTGTGAACAACTGGTGCTACGTCGCTTTGACTCCTTGTTGCCGAGATTGGGACCTGTTCCCATCCCGCGGTCCTCAGCCACCCTGCAATCCAAAATTTTCGTTAACCATGTTTACCGTATGGGAAGGTAAAAGTAATGATTCTGAAACGCTGCCAGAGACGCGACATGATCAAACGGCATGCACTCGAGTGCTTCGAAAAACTAATGGCCAACCTTCAAAGACCTGCGCTCTGGTGGCTGAGAATTTCACAGCGGAGCAGTCGGCGGACGCAGCGTGGCTGGCTGAGCGGGGCCGCAGAAGCGGCGCTTCTGCTTAGCAGACTGATTCTGCTTAGTTGGCTAGACTGGGTTGACAATTACGTCTAGCTGCCGAGCTGGCCACTTGGCTTGGTAGGTCTCGCCTAACCTGCCGATTCGCGTCGAAAGAAGCATCCAGCTGTGACCCGTTCAGCTTTACTTCGCTCGACTTTGTTTTTTTTCCTCCAAAAACACGTCCGGAGCCTTAAAGGCTCTTCCTTGCACATTGGTGCTGAAGCAGACGTCTGTGCCACCACCGTGCTCGCACTTTATTCGTAACATCTCACGAAAGCTGCAGCCTCGTAAAACATTGCGTCCGCCAAGGCGTTAGCAAGTGTGGAAAATTGAGCCAGAAAAAGGAAACGCGAAGTGGAGTCTCGGATAACTTGGGGAGTGCAGTCTGATAAGAATGCTTCCGCCAGGGCACTTACCAGAGCGGAAATTGGGCCTGAAAGTCACTCGAAGAAAGCCTCGTAAAACTTGTGCGTAAGTGCACGAACACAGAATGTTCAGAAAATGCGGTCGTTTTCAAGACCCAGCGCTGCAAAGTCCCAGCCCAACCATATAAATCAGCTATGAGCAACGAGCTTTCCCCGCTGCCATTGTTCAGAGCACGGTCCATAGCTGCTGAATTACCTACAACAGCATGCAATGTCAGAGACCATCGCCGCTCATCAAAGTGAGGGCAGGCGATGTCGCACAACACGGTTGTCCGGCCCCAGGTTTGGGCCACGAACCCAACCGTCACCACCCACAACCCACACCTCTGAATCGAAGTTGACCCCGGCCACGTGGTGAGGTCAACTGCCGCCTCGAGTGTATCCGGTGAACGCCTTGGCAGGCGGCAAGGTCAGCAGTTCTCCTTGAAACGGGTCAGCTGTCCGGAAGCCCCCGTCTCGAGTGCGAGCCATCGGATCCGGCGCCACTCAGGGCATCTAGCCGATAGATGGAGCGCAGCGGAGAGGCATCGGTCCCCTATTCGGTCCGAGAGTGGTCCTCCACACTGGACCGCGCTCTCGGACCGAGGGCCTACCATCCCGGGTACAGCACCCTCTGGCCGAAATTCCGCAGCTGAAATCAGTTGCGCCCTCGGTGATTCACATGATTCACGTGACGTTATTATGACGTCATGACCGCTAAGGTGGCTTTAAAACAGCCTCCCCGCCATACCTTTCCCCATTTTCGAGGGCGCGTAGCGCAGAAACTAAAGGGGCGTAGGTCTTAAGAAGCGCAGGACTGCGAACAGCACCGAAAGATCTTTAAGACCGTTATCTCAGTTCAAAGCACCATATCAATGTGGAACACTCCATTCAAGTAATATGGACATTGCAGCTTCAACGCGGCAATTCCCGAACATGTGGCCAAGGCGGAAGCCCCACAGTACATCACGCTCCTAACAGCTGTCAAGCTGACAACATTAATGCAAACTCAACTGGCCATGTCGTGTTACATTTACCGTGTTACATTTACAAGTGATAGTGTGTATTGAAATATACATAAAATACCACTATTGTTTATGTATTTTTATTTACCACTATGTTTAAATAATGGGATACATAAAATCCCAACTCATGACAGCTAGGCGCTTGGCAACGAAAATGTGGATTACAGAACCCTGGCGGTGTACAGTTCGTCTTCCATTCAGCTGGTTGACCCTCACTGGTCAGTTACCTGCTGACCTTCCACGGCAGTCAGGTCGAACGACACGCCAGCTCTGAGACACGTAGCCAATGCTCCTGGGAGTTTCGTACCTATGGCGATAGGTATTAAAGAGAATATGGCGGAGGTGTCGTTTGCACAGTAAGTTGGGGGGGGGAGGGGGAGCTAAGTTGTTGAAAATTATGGCACCTACCCCAAAAACTCTCGCATCTCCCCGGATTTTGCCCCTTTTCTCTCAAAGTTGGGGTGACTGGAGCGCAAGTGTGACGCTGAATGTCCGCCTCAACTTGACAAGACTACTGAAACGCAACGGAACGCAACTAACTTAGTGCACGGTGAACTTTTCTTCCAAGCATTTCCTTTGGAATCACTGGCATTGTTCACCGTTTCTCGGGTCATGATGTTATGCGTAAGTGCAGCTGTTTGGGGACTAGTGGTTTCCGCTCATGTATCGGCAATCATAATGATTTTGCTGCAAACGCACAGTTGTCACGGCATACCCCACGCGTTGTTTGCGTTCATCCCTGGATGACGGGTTTTCTAAAGCGCGGGATTGACATCTCCGGTCCAACACCGCCATTCGACTTTGTTTTTGACTGTAGGGTGGTCCACCTAGAGTGCTTCAAACGGGATGGCGCGCCCCGGCCCCAACTTCAGCAGGCGCGGGTCAGCCTCGGGGAGCCTGGGCCGCCCCCCCCCCCCCCCTCCCAGTCCGGCAGCCCCAGCCAGAGACCTGGCCGGCGCCGCGGACTGGTGCGGCCAAGCGTGCCGCGGGGAATGAACCGTCTAACCGGCGCCAGCGGCTCACAAACTCCGTCCATTCATCGGGCCGAGGGCCGTCGAACGGCCACCAACGCCACATTCATTGGGACGGACTGCGGCAGGAAATTGGCCGCGGATCAACAGCCGACCATTTGTATCCATTGTCCGCCTGGGGCTGCATCGTTACAATAACAAACAAGGCATGAATCTTGCATATCACACATGCTAGCAAATGAGACTGCCAACACGATGACAGGTCTGCCTTATCAGTCACACAGTCGCCCTTGTACATTCAGTTACAGATTACAGCACTCAGCTCAGTAAACAATAACAATACTACTACAATAATGCAAAACCGTGAGACAGCCAGTATACAATGGTTCGAATGCCTCACAAGCTGCCTACACATAACAGGGTGGCGCCACAACAACCGACGTCCCACCGTCCGCTAAGCACGGCACATATCGACATCCGGCATCTTGTAAGCACGCGTTAGCATGGCCATGCGATGGCCATTGCTGCTTGAGACGAAACAAGGACAAATAAGATGCATCACATGCCTTACCTTTCCCGTGGTCATTGGGATATGTATTGAGACATTTAGGAGGCTTTGAAGCGTTGCTCGCGAATCCAGACGCTCGACATACAAAATATGTTCAAAACAGAAGCAGCGATTCCCGCAATCTCAAAAGCTTGCAACCACAGCTCTTCAAAACGCTGTTCAAACAAACACTGCTTAAAGCAAATGGACTGCCGTCAAGCACACGCTGCGCTCTTACCAGCCACGACAACACATCTTCATCCGACCCTCAGCGAAACGGGCAGCCTGGGGAGCGCACACCGATCTCCAGCCCGGCACCGTCCGTCCCTATCTGGACGCCGTCCGTCCCCAGCTGATCTCCGGTCCGGCGCAGCCCGTCCCCAGCCCGACGTCACCTGTCCCCAGCCGATCTCCAGCCCGGCGCCGCCCGTTCCCAGCCGATCTCCAAGACGGCGCCGTCCGTCTCTAGCCGATCTCCAACCCGGCACCGCCCGTCCCCAACCAATCTCCACACCACGCGGATGTTCTCCGACGAGAGCGCAGCGCGACCTCCGCACCCAGGCGTCAGTGCGAACGGGCGATTTCGGAGAAGAAGCGCAGCAGGTCGTCGATGGTGAACTCGAGCGTGATCATGGCACCCGGGTAGCAGCGCTGGATCATCTCCTCGATCGACTTGTACTGCGTGATGAACTCCTCCTGCATGGCGCGCCACACCACCTGGCGGGCAGCAGAACATGCCGGTTGTTTGCAGAGCGGCGTCATTACTCAGCCCACTGACCTAGCCGTTCAAACTCGAAAAGCTAGAGCGCTGCCAAAACGACGCTGCCATCGCAGCGCGAGAGTGACGCAACCGCGAGTTCAATTCCGGACCGCTGCACATTTCGGCGACCCCACACGCGTGCCACGTGCCCGTCGCGACCTGTGCCCCACTGTCCCAGGTGGTCGCGCGTCGCGTGGCCCACACGGCCGGCGCGGGCCGCCAGCCCCCCCCCCCCCCCCCCCAGCGCCGACCGGCGGCTAAAATAACAGCCGGCTGCCTCCGACACTCCACCTATGCAGGCACGTCGCCAAGGCTGATCAGTGACGTCACGCTTCCCGTGGCGTCAGCTGGAGCGAAAGGACGCGGCGCTTCTCCTCCGGCCAGGAGCGGGCGTCGCTCTAAGGTCAAGCGCCTATTGCGGTAATGCTCGTGCTCTCAGTCAGAGCGTCGCTCCGTGGTACGATGAGCCATCCCCCGGAACCCTGCGCTGGCTCGATTTATCGATGAGACGACTCCAAAACGACGGTAAATGACAAGAAATGCGAAAAAATTACATGTGTTATGTGAGCAGCAAAAACGGCCCCAGATAGGTCACTGTCTTATTAAAATGTATGCTTCATACTTGCGTTTCGCATCCCATGGACTGTTTTACATGCTAAGCCGTTGCTACCAGAATCAACTGCACTGGAATCGATCCCGAGATTAGGTTACGTCTTGTACATCATACATCGGAATCAACTCACAACAGGGTCCTGCCTGGGTTCTGGGTCGGAATTACCCCACCGCGCAGTCAAAACCAAAATCGATACCGCTGAACCGGAACCAAGCAAAGGATCGATGTGCTGAATACTACCAGCGACGGGGAAAATACGATTTTGCCTTTCCCCGCCACGCTACAAACACGAGAGCACATCCATGACAACATAATGAAACAGGATCTTTGCCCTCCTCGCTTCGCGGACCATCTGGCCGCCGCCAAACCGATTTAAACTCGTTTGTGTTACATTGAAGCCCATCCGACCAATCGAAATTAGTTTGAATACATGTATGAGATCACAGGCAGTTCGGCTCGAACAATACAGTGCCGTCAGCGTCAAATCAAATGAAGCCAAGCTCGACGTTCACCGAGTGAACGAAGCCAACTCGTTGCGACCCGCGGTTACCAAAATACCCAACATTGGCTGCCGTCGCTTTGTCGCTCCTTAATCAGGTTGTAGGCCTTGCCGTCCACATGAATATCCCGTGTGACACATACCGGATTTATGGACTGCCGGAAGCACTGGCGGAAGGCAAAATTTCGTAGCTCATTTTCAAGACAAGATATGAAGTACCGTTGATTGTCCGGCCGTGCCTATCTGCCAGGGGTGAGGAACTATGTCCGTAATTGCAAACATACAAGAAGCAAAACGCCTATTATCTTTAATGGAAATCGCACTGAGGGATCTATTGTTAATACGCCGTCACGTGCGTAGTATATTCGTACCTGACCAAAAGCACCAGCTTTCCATTCATTAACAGCGTCTCAACACATGGGCATACATTCCACAAAGCAAAGCAACATTACTTGACTGCTCCACTGAGATTCGAAATGTTGCGTCCTAATTCAGCAACGTACGAAATGTGCTGTTATGCATTGTGCAGGGGTTAAAAATACAAACGTGATACCAACAACTTTGTGGAAACGTACCAGTGTCATAACAAATAATCATGAAAAGGCGCAGGCTAATGCTTTAATAGCTCCTTCTGCATGCATCTGAAGTTATTGCATATTGCAGCTGACAGTTGCTTCGGTAATTATGCTAGTTCGGATCAACACTTGGACATGCCGCGGACGGCGGCAGCACATCTTTGTTTGGTACCGGTGCGAACAAGTACTTTGATGTCGATGGTAAGAACGCCAGGTCGGCGCTGATAGTCCCAGCGTCTTCAAAATCATAGACTTAACATACGAGGCTACCAAATGTAACAAAATGACGTCCGCCGAGTGTCGCGATCATCGCGAATGCCGGACTTTCATGCCGGTGTCGTACACCGGTTTATCGTGTGAGCATTGGGATGGTTTGAAGGCTCAGCAAACGCAGATTGGCATCGTACAACAGTAAGTAGACGCATTTCATCTCGACATTGAAATTTATGGTTGTGCGTTGACGTCCTGCCATTTTGGACGCGTTTTTGGGGAGCGCTGCAACCACGCTGCATTTTTTGCCGCATGTGAACAGGGGTGTGCGCAGAATTTTGAATGGGGGGACACCACTCAAAAATTTTCCCCTGAAACCGAGTAAAGCGCGCCGCGGGTGCGCACACTATCTGGGATCTCGCAGAACCAGGCGCTCTTCTTAGTTCTATCGGTCTTTCTGGACCTAATTGGGTAACGCACACACTCAATGCATACCCCAAACTTGGTAGGGGATGAGGAGCACATGACTTCAGGATGTATACGTGCGTACGACCCAACATCTGAGCAAAAATCTACGGTCACGGATCTACGGCGCTCATTTTCCCCCACGGTTATCCCTTGGAGCATGGCAGCCTTACCGCTTCCAGCAAAACACCCCACACAACACCCAGTTAGCGGGAATGTCGCCGCTGGTCAGCCGCTCAGCTAATGACGAGGCCGGAGGGCAGCTGCGGCCGCGGCAGCCATCTGCCGCCGGCGGCACCGACCAGGCGCCAGCGGGGCCGACAACAAAGACGTCCTCAGGGCCCCGGGCTGATAGCGGCCAGTAATGACCCCCGCTGAATCAGATGGCCACGCTTATTGGACCAGTGTTGTATTATGCCGCCGCAGGCACCGGCAGCCGGCGCCACGCCGCGTGTGATTGGTGCGGCGGCGTGACGGAGTGACCACGTAGCCGGCCAGGAGTACACGGCGGGGATCGGTCGCCAGGCAGCGGCACGTGATTTATGCCACACGTGACAGTGGAGATCGAAGGGAACACATGTGACACGCTCTGATAACACGCGTAGAGATCACGCGACTCGTTGTGCGTGTGCATTGGGAAGTCGGGGGTTGGACGCCTGCAGTTCCGCGTAAACGTGCGGAAATCGGGAGGTCTTCACGGCTCGGAGCGCACGCGCAAAGATCGGAGGGCAGCCACGTGACATGCACCGCGCGTGTACGGCCATATCCGCGCGGGCGAGGAGCGGAGGCCCGCAGACCGCGCGGCCCGCCGGAGCGCAGCCGCCGCCGCCGCGGGCGATCGAGCGGCGGCGCGGGGCCGGTCGGCCGGTGCTGAGCTGACCCCAACGCCTGGCCCGGACACCGGAGAGCGCCGGACGTCGGCGCCAGACGGCCACACGAGCCCCGAGCCGGCCGCGCGGTCCGTTCGGGCCCGGCCGAGCTGTCTCCGCGGCGTGCCGTGGGGTCGTGCGCGGCTCCGTGCTGTCCGCCGGCTCCCTCAGCCGCGTGTCACTCCTACGCCCGGCACAGGCTCCGTGCTGTCCGTCTGCTCCCTCAGCCGCGTGTCATTCCTACGCCCGGCACCGGCTCCGTGCTGTCCGACGGCTCCCTCAGCCGCGTGTCATTCCTACGCCCGGCACCGGCTCCGTGCTGTCCACCGGCTCCCCCAGCCGCGTGTCATTCCTACGCCCGGCACCGGCTCCGTGCTGTCCGCCGGCTTCCTCGGCCGCGTGTCACTCATACGCCCGGCACCGGCTCCGTGCTCTCCGCCGGCTCCCTCAGCCGCGTGGCACTTCTACGCCCGGCACCGGCGCGGCAGGACGCGCAGCACAGACGCGAAGGCTTGACCTCGGGCGTTGGGTGTGGGACATACGCCGACTCCACTTTCTTGGAGAGGAATTGTGTTCTGATAACCGACATTGACAGGCGCACTAACACCCGAATTTTCCTGCATGGCAGCCAGCATACCTTTCAGACACTGGGATTCACCACACCTAGGAATGACGCACAGCGCTGCAACCCGGACCGAGCGTTGCTGCCAAGGCCGAGAACACACATGTCCGGTGACCCGAGCGTGAGTGACCGTCCGAACGTTCCTGGTGCGGACTGTGGGGTGGCTGAGCGCCGCGCCAGCGCCCGGCTCAGACCTGCCGCGCTCACAGATGCTCGCGGCGCGGGACGCCCCAGACTCGCGAGACGTACAAGGCGGACGAGCCGCGGCGGCGCGATGCAATCGATACCGCCTGCGGGCTCAACGGCGTCGGCTCGGCTCGGCTCGAGCGGGTGTCTCGCAGGGCAGCCGGGCGGACAAATCGGCCGAGAGTCACCCCGGCACGTGTTGCCAGGGGCGGGCGGGGGGGGGGGGGGGACGGACGCTGTTGCCGTTGGCCGCTGCTAGGTAGGTGGATCCTGTGCGTCACTGTTTCGAGAGCTCGATCACAATTCTGGCGCGTCTAACGCTGCAGTGGCTCGGCATTGTACTCCGCTATTTTGGGCCATGGACGGTCATTCTGACACGGTTCGGCTGGTTGCGCAATGTCTGCTGCCCCGGCACTTCAAACATGGCGTGGCGGAAAGCAGCGAGATATGTTGCAGGGCGAGTTTGCGTGAAATCCCAATGTGTTTGAAAAGATAATATAGGTACAAGAATATAACTGAAATCGAGCAACAGAACATTAAACTACCCAAAATACTAACAACAGATAGTTGCAGATGCGTAAATGACATTCTAATCCATTTCAAACCGATGCGCAAGACAGCATTTCCCTAACTCTACGACTTCCCAAATGGGCGATTCCCCCTGGTTTCGCGATATAGCCCACCCCCGCGCCAGGACTCCTTGCCGTTCGTCACCCTCTCACGGCCGTCAGCCAGCCGTCTCAGTTAGGCCCGTGATTAGCGGACTGAAGCTTGACAGCTCTAGCTGGAATACTAGACGGCCCAGACGTCAACACTGAATCAAGCTCCGACGCGCACTTTCAATACTGCCAACACACACATACGTCGCCGCCGTCAATTGGCTACAGCCGGCCGGGAGGCGACGACTCATCCCCACCTGCAGCAGGTTCTCCTCCTCGCAGAGGTGCTTCTCCACCTTTCTGTAGAGCGTCTCCAGGCCCTTCTTAACCTCCTTGCCGGGGTACTCCTTGATGACCTTGCGCAGCTCCTGCTTGCTGAAGGCCAGCTGGTAGCCCATCTCCGACTCGCGCACGCCCTGGGCCACCTTGGACTGGACGCCGCCGAAGAATTGCTGCAACACACGGAGCAGGCCTGCTGGGAAGACTACCCCCGCTCCTCGGAACGATGTCGGGCAGTACCGTGTCATAACCACGCCTGTGGCTCCGTCGGGAAGGCTGTACCGGAACCTGCCCGCCGGCTGACAGCGGAAACGGCCGCTTGGCTTCCCCCCCCCCCCCCCCTCCGCATCTCCCCAGGCCTAACATTGGCTCGAGTACACAAACACGAGGAACACTGGCAGCGCGGAACAACACACAGCGCGACAGGCAGCGGTGGCCAGAACGGCCGAGGTTCCGCGCGGTCCAGTCTCCCGGGAGCGGAACGGCGTTACACAGTCGGTGAGGCTAGAGGGGGGATGGAAAGTGGGGAGAGGGCGTATTTCTGTGGACGGCCGCTGCCTGGCGCCGGCGGTCCCGATGAAACGGAGCCGCTCTCGCCATGGCCGCCAGCCGGCGGCAGTTACAGTCTGCTCGTATTGGAGCGGGCTTCGGCCCGGCGTCAATCTGGGGAAGGCGGCGCCGAGCGGCCGCCGCCGAATGAGTCAACTCCGGACTCTGACCCTTATGACTCGGCCGCGTTCGGGTACGGCCCCCGCTCCACTTTGATCATCGCATTGCCGCGAAGTCCAGATGAGAGGCCTGAAGCCATGCGCCCGACGGGCCGAGCGGGGCGGAGCTCCAAGGCTTATTCAATTAGCGCCGACTGCTATAGAAGCAGTTGCGAGCGCTGGTCATTTGGGTGGGAATCGGTCCCCGGACGAATTTGGGCCAATTGGAAAGCGGTCGACTGCCATCAGGGTCATGGATCGAGCGTTCAGCATGGGTACAGGGCTCAAGAGATGGACCGACTCGATGATGATTGGGGCTTTATTCGTGATATCGAATATGCCTCCTCATAGGCCAGACAAACGGAATAACGAACACGTTTTGGTTGAAAGACGGTGCTGGCGCCAGCCAGGGGATGTACGAAATCAAGCCACGGTCTGTTGCGTTGTGTTGAACAATTGCAAGGGAAACGTCGGGCTTCGTTCCAACGAGATCCTGGAACCGAAACATCCGGCGAATTTTTCAGTCACATCAGAAGAGCGACAACTGCAGTTGGTGTTAGAAATCGTATCAAATCAAGCGCATTATTCCGCGCCAATATGGAGGGACAACACTGTACAACTGGCAAGTCGAGCGCATAACATTAATCCATCCTTATGCCGCCCCCCCCCCCCTCCCTCCTCCTCCATCCCTACACACACCAGGTAGCCAGTATCACCGCACCACCCGAACTAACGATAACTGCATCGCTTCACAAGCGAAACAGCGCACGCTCGCGTCACAACCAACCACCGTCCGACGGCGACCAGCTGGTCTCGGACCACAGGCCCACCAGACCGGCTGTTCCTGTGACCACTCAACTAGCCACGCAGATCGCCCCTTCCCAAAGCCCTGCTCACGTTCAGCTTGATCAGCGGCTGGCCGAAGTAGCGCGTGACATAGGCCCGCAGAGCGTCAGTGTACTTAGCCTTGACCTCCCGCTTCTCCGCCTCCAGGCCGGCCAGCTTGAGGCGCATCAACAGCGCGTGCAGATGGTGGAAGTTCTCCATCTGGACCACCTCGAGCGGCGTCTTCTGGTGCTGGCCGCCCACCGTCGTCACCTGCCGCCGCGGTCCGAATACCAGCCGTCAGCTGCATGCGCGTCTAAATCAACCAAGAAAGAAAGCAAGTCTACAGCACCGTGAGAAAACCCGCTGAAATACACTCGATTTCTCTCAAAAGCTGATGACCGAATAAAACTCAGCTTTTCCGGCCATCAAAACTTTCGGTTACAATTCTCGCTTGCAGTTACAATCTACTGAAGTTATTTAAAATACTGAGACCCACAATACTGTAATACCACATCACAGATTGTCCCTGATCCTCCAGCACAAAACAGATCACCCATGCGAAGTGTCGAGCCAGACGCCTGACGCCGCCAGTGTCGCGCCAGACGCCCGACCCCGCCAGTGTCGCGCCAGACGCCTGACCCCTCGAGTGTCGCGCCAGGCGCCTGACCCCGCCAGTGTCGCGCCAGACGCCTGACCCCGCCAGTGTCTCGCCAGACGTCCGACCCCGCCAGTGTCGCGCTGGACGTCCGACCCCTCGAGTGTCGCGCCAGGCGCCTGACCCTGCCAGTGTCGCGCCAGGCGCCTGACCCCGCCAGTGTCGCGCCAGGCGCCTGACCCCGCCAGTGTCGCGCCGGACGCCCGACCCCTCCAGTGTCGCGCCGGACGTCCGACCCCGCCAGTGTCGCGCCCGACGCCCGACCCCTCGAGTGTCGCGCCAGACGCCCGACCCCTCCAGTGTCGCGCCAGACGCCCGACCCCGCCAGTGTCGCGCCGGACGCCCGACCCTGCCAGTGTCGCGCCCGACGCCCGACCCTGCCAGTGTCGCGCCCGACGCCCGACCACGGCAAGTGTCGCGCCGGCCGCCGTCACCTGGTCGATGACGGCCCGGATGACGCGGCTGTACCAGCGGTCCAGGTCGGCCCGCCGTGACGAATCGCGGAACACGCTCTCGGAGATCGCTGCCAGCTCCTGGTGACGTCACAGGCCGCGGTCACGGGAGGTGCGGGCAGGTGGGGAAGACGACCGGCGGCACCGGGGCCGGGCGGCAGAGACCACTAAGGGTGTCGTCAGCGGTGCAGGCTGGCAACAACACGCGCTACGGGCCACACTGCGATGTGAGAAGAAATACAAATGCAGTGAACGGTGCGACAAAATCCAATAAAAAACTTTACGAAGACGAACATTTTTGCGTCCTGTTACACACCGCGATGCAGAAATTAACCCGTATGACCATAGGCGTGCACAAAACGACTACACACTGAAGAAAAGCTGAATGCTGCTATGAATCTTGCAGTGCAACCGTACTTAGTTATGTTATTAATCATAATTGATAATGTAATTAGGGTATTTGTTGCGATGAAACGGTAGTTACTTAACCTGCTCAAGGCTTGCTTTTTGACACATTTGTAAAAAATAATGATGCAACATAATCATCCTCCACAGACAGCGAAGTAAAGGTTGTAGACCAACCGAAAATAGAAAAAATCGCATGCAATCACTAGCCTTTCGTCCGCGGTAATTATATCAGCTGAGTTGTTGACAGTTCAGTACGGACACAAATGCGTGCTGTACTCCCCGCTGTGCACGCGCTTCCTAAAACATTACATTAGCTACGACAATAAGGCTTTCACAGCTCTCATATACCAAAACTACAACTCTTTGTCGTTTTCGTAGCGGCTTTTACAGCCGACGAAGTGTGAGCTCATGTGTAGCCGCTCGCGTTCCGTGACGGTGCAATTCTTGGAAGCGTTTGCGCAAACATTTGATTAAGCGAGAGACCCCGCGACGTCAGGTAATTGCAGGGATGCTAACCAGACCACAGAAGGCAGTTCAAACGAATAGTTGAAAGATGGGTTATTACAGTCAGCGAAACCGGTGCTGACAGCTGTCTAGCAGTGCCGTGATGCCCGCTCCCGAGCCCAATGCCTTCCCTAGTGGCTTTAAATGGCATGCAAATACTGGCAAACCACGGCAGCTGGCAGCGCCGGTGTTCAACATGAGGCTCGTGACGCTGGAAGTGGTGCGTAATTAGCAGCACGTTAGCCCGGTATCCCCAGAGTTTTACGGCACCAATTTGGACCACACACGAAACGATGCCGTTTAAATTAATTCTGAAGACACGATATTGTATGAGATACTGGAGTCGGGAAAAAGGCAAGTAAAAGCGGCAGGAGTCGTTGTCATAAGAAATTCATACGGGAAATGCTTTAAACCTTTTAAGAGATTTTCCGAAAACTACGCAGGAAGTTCGCCTTCATTTAATCAAATCACTTCTGCTTCGCTGTAAAAGGTTTGGTTGAGGGAGGAAAACGCTTGACACTGGGAGCAACTGTTCAACTTACAACTGAATTTAGCATCATGAATATTCCACCAAACTGTCCGAAAAACTTCGCGCGTAAAAATACCTTGCGACACTGCATGCGTGAAAACAGCTACAGCCCCGCGTTTGTTCATACAACACGGCGGCCAGAGCGGAGGCGAGGGGAGCTTCTGAGCGCAGCAGGGTCCCATGTCAAACCGTGGCTGCGTCAAACAGCAGACATCACAGCCAACTGCAGTCAATCCGCAGATGACACGGCAACAAACACTGCCGCTTTGGTGCGCTCCGTGCATTCCCTTTGAAATGTCACATGAGACAACTGAAAGACAACAGTGCATACTGAAGATGCTGCTTCAGCCTTCATACCGCACGATTTGAAGCGCTTTGGATACGTGCCCCATGCACCCATTCTACCTGAGGCCTCAACCAACCAACATGGTGCTAAAAACACTAACAAAACTCAAAACGCTATGGAAAAATGTTATTGAAGACTACCACAGACATTATTAACAACCACCAACTGAACTCTTTTGGTGGCAGACAAGGAAAAGTGGTCAGGAATAACACCTTTCATAAAGGCGAAGGTCTGTTTTCACATTAATTTAACACAAAGTGCCCTATCACAAGTTTTTACCTCTGTAAGCCCAGTAACTCCCTAGACAAGGAAGTTGCGAAATCTTCACGCTGTAAAAGCCCGTTCCTGCCCTATAATCTTAACTCGATCCTTCAAACAGCCAAAACACCGCAGAGAACCCATCAGTTAGCGATTCCCCAAAGAGCCTCTGGCAGCGGCCCAGACGGACCGAATCTAGCGTTACATCCGCCCGAGATACCCCGTGCCGTCCCGATCCGATCACGTGATTGACGGCTTCGGACGCTACCGAAGCCACGTGATACAAATCCGAGATGCCGCGGTCTTGTCGGACCCCATCTCTTAACCGACGTCACGTGGCACGACCGCCATCACGCTCACCCGGGCCAGACGAGCGGACGCGCTCACCTGGAAGTTGGAGACGAACGGCAGGATGGCGCACTTGGAGCGGCGCGGCGGCGGGCACGTCTCGACAGACTCGATCTGGGAGCGCATCAGCCGGTCCAAGTTCTGCTTGCTGGCGACGAGCGCGGCGGCCAGCGTCTGGTGCAGGAACGAGCCCGAGTCCTGCGTGCTCGTCACGTGCTCCGACAGCCTCACCAGGATGTGCATCACGCAGCTGTCGAGGCAGAGAGGGGGAGGGCGGGGGGGGGGGGGGGGCGCATCGGTGAGTATGGACTATGGCGGTTCAGATATAAAGTTTGATATTGAGCCATGAAAAAGGGAAAAGAAGATGCGATCAAACGCACGTTTTTTTCTTTTTCTCAGCCCGTCTCCCGCTTACATGCATAGCACACGCCGTTCCGTCAGTCCCCGAGAACAGCTTATGTTAGGGAGTCCCTGGCATCCACCCCGGTACGCTGCCAATGGCCGCGGGGTTGACGGCCCATCAGTCACAATTTGTCGCTACGCTAATGGCGGCCGCGGCCGAGAACTTACAAGCTGTCGATTCGCTCATGCTGGGCGAGGAACGAGTTGAGCTCGGTCTCCAGCGAGCCGAAGAGCTCCCGCATCAGCGAGCGCACCTCGTCGTGCCTGCCCAGCGCGCCGTCCGCCAGCGAGTCCGGCTGGGAGCTCTGGGACAGGGCACCGCTCAGGTCATGTCGGCCACCGGCGGTCAGTTCTACGATTGGGTGATACAATACGCGCGATCTGTATACCACATCGGTAATTAACCATGCAATAAACACGTGGTCTAAACGCCTCATCGTGGCACTTCGGTGTGCATGAAAAATATGTCCTCCGTGTGTCTGCACTTCAGTTTAACGCGTCCCTTTAACCTGCTTCGCCTTCCGAAAACCTCCAGTGGCATACCGACCCCACCAAAGCGGCGGCGTCCACATGCCTGGCACGCTGCGTACGGGCTGGAGACAGCCACCGGAGTGGCACCCCCTGATGGACGGCCGCGCGCCGGCGACTCGTCCGGCCCGGAGCGGCCCGCGGGGCCGTGACCCTGAACAATACAGGCCCGGGGTCGACGCGCGCCGTGGGCCGGCCGTGAACGCGGTGTGGACGAGGGGTCCGTGAGGAGGACCTGTGCTCAGCTCAACTCCCGATGAGAAGGGCCGACTCTGATTATGACGGACGGTATGCGGTCCATTTTACTCTGAATGCAACTGACTTGTTTGATGATGATTTGGGCTTAGGTGCGCGCGAACGGTCCAAGTCATTTCGCACCTATACGTATGAGCCGATTGTCCCCCTGGTCATGGCTGTCGTAAAATACAATGAATCAAATCTTACTCAGAATACAACGAAACTTATCGGTGTCAGAGCCGACACCGCGAGCGTGACTCCAGCTGCTTAAAACTTGTCTGCATTAAATCATTTTCAACACTGTTCAGCAGGTAACTTTAGCGGTAGGATACCAGTAACTACCATGCATAAACCGATTACCTCACTTAATGGAGGTTGAGTAGTGAACATGTCAGCTGTACAGGTACCCAACTTAGACACATGTTTGAACTGCTCCTACTAACCAACAAACATTAAATAAAGTACATCAACAGAGCGCTACAAATTTCTAAGCCACCGCCAATCATTCATAACTCTGATGCCAAGCGGTTCTGAAACATATTGGGTGGGGGCATTTCAATGTACTTAACCATTAGCAGTGGTGAAACGATAGCTGCAGACCCCCTGCAGTGGCCAGCAATGAATGGCCCATTTCACCCTTCATGACACGCAAAGGTCCAAATGTTGTGCACTGTACAATCTGTTTCTCCCCGTCACACATGAAGTGAAACGCACAGGACGCGACCAGCCGTCTCCTCAGCTGTATGACCAGTGTTTTTCAACAAATGCCATGCAGTTAACTGTGCTCCACGCCTGCAACGCAGCAAATATTCCCACAGCGCATCTCATTTTGAGTCTGGTGCTTTTCACCGACAGCACGGTCGCCACTCTATCTCCACTGCGCATACGGGCGCACAAGCAACAACTCTGTTTGGCATGTGCTGACGGATTATTCAGCACCAATGCGAGCACGAAAATTTGTCTACATCTCACAATTAGTCTGAAATCAGTAGAGAAGCTGATCCTCACTTCGCCGTTACATTGTGTTTTCTTTTCTCTGGGATGCACATTCACCGAACGGCTAAGCTGACGAAAAGACACCGAAATGCAATGAGCTAAAATGCCCTGAAATACATATGGCGTGACAAGAAGGCGATAAACCAGTTGATAGACTCACCTATAGCGTAAGTGCGCCAATACACGTCTAAACGTCGTTTCAAGATACGACCCAATTTGGAGATCCAATTCCGGCGCATATGAGCACCGGAATAGCAGGCCCATTTTGTCCGAGCTTCGCGTTCATTGTGAATCGCGCTTGAAACATATGAGCGACAGATTGTTGACAGGCGACGATGTACTGTGCTGCACATGACTATGCGTTACTGCTAGCCACGAGTGTTACTTAAATTGTTCATTTGTTTCCACTCATGGGACGCAATTGTGGGTTGTGATTCGAGCTCTTTTGGGCTCGACGAACTCCAAGTGTATGGGGTGGGTAGAGATCACAGCGGCATCGATGTAACATTCTTGGCACCTCACCACCTTCAGCTGCCAGCGTGGTAAGTGCCACTGACCATCCCCCTGTTGCTGACAAAGTTCAGAGCGTCAAGGCATGTACAAAGGCATATGGTGGTATATATGGTTGTAATCGCCTGGGGGTACCAGGGATCGTCATCCAACCCTTTTCAAAACAGGATTTTGACCTCCCTGATTCTACTCGTACAATGCACGTTTTTAACGCTTTCGCATTCAAAAATGTTATTGTCAAGCCAGCTTGTCGCCCCAGGTTTCAATTTTATCATCTCAGTCTTCATTTGTCCCATGCCCTCTCCATTTTCAGAGGTGGCCGCAGCCGTGCACATTTGTACATGCAGTCACAGCTTGTCATTCAAGGATGATATCTGAGATACTATGCAATTTGAGACCGGACTAAAGCAATGCTACTGCTTTATATAATGTGCAGTTATAATACATGATGCGCAGCTAAAGTCGACTCCGCCCCAACTCTGGGAGTGACAGCCGACTAAACACTGAACCTGACTCCACCTGTTGCCGGTGGAGCCGACTGAACCCTGACTCAGCCCAATGTTGGCTGACCCTGGAGTTGACTCTGGCGCCGAGTCAGAGCTGTGTCGGCCTGTCTCGAGTCTGCCGCGCCGCACCGGCATCACATCCGTACCGGGGTCCGGTTGCAGTCCCGATGCTCGTTATCAGCGCTGCTAATGCGCCATTGACGACCGACAAATACGCTTTGTGTGGACGCCAGATGCCGCCCGGCTAACCGCCTGGCTCCGTCACATTCGGGTTTGCCGTACACACATCTGGTAAATGGACAGTCTAATCACAAGCGTAAATAAATAGTCACACATCAAGATTGTTGGGATTTCATTTAGTAGCCGGTTTTCTTTGATGTTTGGCAGTGTTTTCGGTAACATCCGGGAACTTCCACGATTGTTTTGATTTAGTTTGTCTCGTCTGCGTACGTTTTGAGTTAAATGAGTTTTTACGGTTAAATTTGACGGGCCGAGGCCGGCGGTTTGTAGAGCAGCACGTGCGCGGTCGAGCCCCCGGGCGGCTGGATGGTGAGTTGATCAGCGGCGTATAACACGGCAACGTGCCTGGCTTGGGAAATCGCCGTCTGGCGCGTGACGCTGGGAGGCAGACGACTTCGACTTTTGGCGGCTTCTGTTTACGCCTTACTTGGGCCAGGATATCAATAGACGAGGAAAAGGAGCTGACCGGGAGATAAATAATTGCAGGTGTATGTTTAGCGAGTTATCCTAGCAAAGACAAAAAATGTACGCTCTGCGTGCACATTTGTTGTTTACTTGGGTTTTAGTTGACACTGAATATATGCGATGGGGATGCAAAAAGCTCCAGTTCACCAAGCATCATCCCCACCGTAAAAATCCTGTGGCGACAACCACGATCCTCATCACATAGCAAACCCGACCGAGCTAAAAACGTTTCTTTGTGCGTGCTACCAACAGGTGTCTAACGCCGCAGACACTGTTTGGATGGTTCCTTCGTGCCAAAGGGAAACCCGTGGCACCTCGCTCTTGCAGTTCATTACAATAAGCAAAACGTTTTAAGCCCGGACCGGTCCCTATGGGACGATCCGACCGACCTGCGACTGCGCTCCGTCCTGCCCCAGCTTGAAGAAGCCCACGCAGAAGTTCTGCTCCTCCAGGCAAGAGGGCTCCAGCCCCTTCAACAGCTGCTCCAGCACGTCGTCGAACCGCAGCCTGTCCGAGCTGTCCAGCTGTGGGCGGAGACGGGGAGCGGCTGTCACTGCGTGGAGCCGGGCCCAACTCCACAAGCAAAGCAGAACGGATGCTTCAATGTTGCTTGAAGCGTCGGGACCTTTTCTAATCAGTTTGTGCTGGGCGGTGTTTGTGACAGTGTTGGCAGTAGACGTCATGGGCGTGACGTTGTGCCACGCACACTGAAGCTACAGGCGGTATGCCCTGGCGTAAGTCAAGTGCGACAACCGACGGTCTCGACTGAAAGTATGATAAGCAACGACACCCGCGTCTTCACCCTGGCGTATGACATAGCTGACAGCCGATTTTGCGCTTTACGCTCTGCCATTACGGTTACTTTCTGTAAAAACGGTTCGCGGAGTCACCAATATAGATGAGCACAACGTCAAAAGCAGACTTGATTTACACATTTGAACTATTTAACTTCGCAGTAGATAACAGTCCAGGTCACTGAGTGAGTTTGCTGTCAAATGCAGGCTTGAAAACGTACTTGTGAAATGCTTAACGTCTGTTATTTGGAACGCATGTTTCGCCAGTGTTAATGTCACATCGGAACTCCACCACCCTCTAATTTAGGTCGTGCAACTAGCAGCTCGGCGATAACACTCCTGCATAATTCATCCCACTTCTTTGTGGAGCGCATTTGGCCTCTTAAATAACACAATCTAGGTCGCAGGTACCATAACGTCATTCGCCGTCTGGCAGCCACCGCACTATCATTACGGACCCCATCCGCTCCACCGAGGTGAAACTGCAGCTTATTGGGGTCGTCTATCGCGAGACCCATGCAGCTTATATCTTATCAACGACATTGAGACAGATAGGCCGATTTGCAACGGTCGCAGTCACAGCCCAGCAAATTTATACCGCACCGAGCCACAGATTTCTCCCGATAGGCAGCGCCACGCAATATTCTGGTCACCACACCACTGGAACCCATGGCAAAGCGAGCAGCCCAGGCCATCCGACGCTCCTTCGATCTCGGACGCATGGTAAGTGCCGCACTCAAACCATCGAAAATGCCTCAAGACACTTTGAAATTCTTGGACAGCTCTGGAAGTTTTCATAAAGCAGCGACAGCTGACACCGCCCCCCCCCCCCCCCCCCTCCCCATCCAGAGCGTCAAGGGCAGCGGCTGGCGAACCAACAGCGGAAACAGGCTCTTAAACGGTTCCCGTCTCACCAGCGAGCGGAGAGCAGACTCCGCTGGGAGGGAGCGAGTCAGAATAGCGATAACTGCCAGCGCGTGATGACAACAGCAAGACGTCGCCATAATACACAAGCTGGGCTGGGAAGCCGCATCTTGGCCGCAACTGCATCACAACAGCAATCAAGCCTGTGTAATTAAGCAGTAAACGACAGGTTTTCGAAGTAAACGTAACGTAAAGTAAACGACATTTTTTCCTACAAACCAAACTTGTTTAGGTAGGACAGAAGGCCGCATGTAGGAGGTACAGAGCCACTAGGGAATCCTGTTCTCTGGATGCGCCAGTGAGGTCACCGGCCTGTAGCGCTGGGACACACGCAAACACGACACATATGACAACCGGTATGGTCACACGCATAGCATGTCCCGTAAACACGACACGTATGACAACCGGTATGGTCTCATGCATATCATGCCACGTAAACACGACACATATGACAACCGGTATGATCACGCGCATGTCATGTCTCGACACGTCTTGATATGAGCGAGAAATGCATTACGGCGCTGTATACTGTGAGCTGCACTGTTTGGGTTTTTAAAATCATTAATTTGTACGATCACGCCCGGCATTACGAGTAATTGCAGTGAGTGTCTATCGTCAGTGAGCTCCTTTGGTTGAATGTCGATGGTTTTCACCATAAAAATTCATAATTCAAAGACGTCTATTTAAATGCAGCAGGGGACTGAGGCTTTTAAGCTAAGCAGAGCAATACTATATGATGTACAAGTCTGAAACAAGCGAGACCCGTCTGGCAACCGTGTGAATGTTGCATTGGTTGTGACACCGGGGGCGGCGTTCACTCGGACCTTACATTTGACATGACGCAGGGCATGCTTGGCGGCCCGCGAGCAGTGATTGTGCTCACAATGCCGAGACTGCAGCAAGAGAAAATGTTAATTTGTTATGGATGAGACAAAAGCTGGTAGTGCGCCGGCGCCCACGCGGGTCCGCCGCCGCACTGTCATGCCGGCTGGTGCTTCTATGTTACCGGTAACTTTTTCAGGCGATTATTTCTCAAGTGTCTACAATGCGAAAGGCAAAAATTCGCTCAGTCAAATTATAAATTAACGCACGCACGCACACACGCACGCACGCACGCACGCACGCACGCACGCACGCACGCACGCACGCGCACACACACACACACACACACACACACACACACACACACACACACACACACACACACACACACACACACATGCGTGCACGCACGCACGCACGCGCGCATGCGGGCACGCACGCACGCACGCACATTCAGTTAATGAACAAGATCAGTACGCTCATAGACGAGTTCGGGATGACGTACTCAACAGCCAACGCAAAAGAATACAGCGGCGGAGGAATCATCAGCTCAACGAATAGCGACGTTTACCCATCCGCCACTGGGGCTGTCGACCGCGCAGCGTCCCAATGGACCGCAGTAAGAGCTGAGGACCGTTTGACTCCCGCAAACGTGACTAGGGAACCAGTCAGATCCTTGCAGCAGGGCAGCCGGTAAACAGCGGAGTTCAGTGGTGGTGTAGGGCAGGTGTGGGGCGACAGGCACGGCACGGTTGTTAGGCCAGACTGAACGCGAACCAGAACCCCCAAATAGCTTGGCAAGGCGGGAACCAAGGAAAGGTAGGTGTGGGGCGACAGGCACGGCCGGTTGTTAGGTCAGACGACCGTGAACCAGAACCCCCGAATAGCTTGGCAAGGCGGGCACCAAGGAAAGGCGGGTATGGGGCGATATGCAGGGCACGGTTGGTAAGCCAGACGACCGGAAGTAACGAATAGCTCGACAAGGCGGGCACCACGGGAAGGAGGACCCAAAACGTTGACGTTTGTCGGGACTTCGTTCGGATCTTGTCCTGCATTCCTAGGACCATAATCGTCCAAAAGGCCTCTTGGCGATACAGGTGGTCTCCCGAGGCTGACAGATCGCTTGGGAATGACCCCATTCATGTTCTTTTCTTTCCACTCCTGCACGGACCATTGGAACAGTGTGGCTGGAGGAATGTCTGCTAGTGTTTAGTTTGTCTTAAGAGCGTTTGGAGATTTCTTGCCAACACCGCACCTTTCCCAGCCAGCTGACTTCATCCAGGAAAGTTGACGGCAATGATTATGATAAAGATAACTGGTGGTGCTCATTATTCAATTTAATCAAATCAGTTGCTATTTCGCGAAATATTATTACGGGTCAACGGCTACAACCATCTGCGACATCATGGTGTCCCCCGCCAGTACGACGCAATGAAGTAAGTGCACTGGCAAAAAATGTGGCATAATTAATCAGCACGACACAAGAATAGACGCTCAGTTGAGCGCCGTTTTGGCAGGGCAACAAAATTCAGTAAGGTGCCTTGTGCGGCGTGACACGAGCACGACGATAACAGATGTGAGCTATCGATTCTCACTGCGAAGATGGTGCCAAAAACACGCTAATGGAGGCAGACGCCTTTGGCAATCAATGATGACGTGTTTGATAAATACGATGGAAAGCCTGGCTTTTACGAGAACCTTAAAAGCAGAAGCCTGCTGAGCGGTGGCCGCCCTCCCAGGGGAAAGCGTCAGTTCGTTGCGCGCTCATTTACACACGGCATTGCTTGAAAATGGTCTCGACATTCACACACAGCGTTGCTTGAAAATAGCCTCGCTCACTCACACATGGCATTGCTTGAAAATAGCCTCGGCTCATCAACACACAGCATTGTTTGAAAATAGCCTCGACATTCATACACAGCGTTGCTTGAAAATAGCCTCGCTCACTCAAACATGGCATTGCTTGAAAATAGCCTCGCTCATTTACACACGGCATTGCTTGAAAATAGCCCTCGACATTCATACACAGCGTTGCTTAAAAATAGCCTCGCTCATTCACACATGGCATTGCTTGAAAATAGCCTCGCTCATTCACACACAGCACCGCTTGAAAATAGCCTCGCTCATTCACACGCAGCACTGCTTGGAAATAGCCCTCGCTTTGGGTCCGGTCAGGCTTGACAATTGTAATCGCCGGGAACGCTGAGCTTGCAATTATATAGTTTAAATTAATCAGGGTGTCACGACATGGCGCGCATATTTGAGGACCAGGCGCCTGTGCGGCTTGCCCGACCCCGTCTCCCAGAACAGGCGCCTTGTGTTCGGCGCCTTCTGCGCCAGAGCAGCGCCTTGTGCGCCAGAACAGCCCCTTGTGCGCCAAAGCAGCGCCTTGTGTCCGGGACGGGCTGCGAGGCCCCAATATGAGAACTGAAGGCTTTCCGGGTCACTGCGGGCACACCCGTGGTAGGACAGCCTTACCACCTGTTGGCGAGTGGTAGCCGTCACACACGCCTATGCTATGTGGGTCATGTCAGGTCGTCATTTGCTCTGATCTTTTTTAGACCTTACACCAAAGCCTAAACTGCTTCAACACGGCAGCGTTTGGTGGCAGTGAGCCTCACTACGGCTGTCCGTAATAGTCACACAGCCTGGGTCGCACACAAGTTCGGGCGCATGCGGCGCAAGTCTGCGCAACGGGGAGGGGCGCGCCAACATCACGCGCCAAGACGTAAGTGAATCCCCCCCCCCCTACCAACGCTTGAAGTCGACACCATGCGGGCCGAAACTGACGTACTGTAATACGCGCCTCGATCGCTCGAGCCACCGAGTTGGAAAAGAGCGTGCGGACGGAGAACAGAAACTGGGAACAATGCAGTGGATACCCTGTGCGTTCTGCATTGCACATGGGTGAACAACAAATAATGTTGCTAGTTCACAGCCTGCATTTTGGAGCCTTCTGTGGCAGTCCCACGTCAAGATCCCGCACCGCGGCCGCCTTTTCTCCGCCCGCTCCAGTCGAGCCGCGCGTCAGTTCCGAGTCTTCTGCAGCCGGGTCGCGCGTCAGCCCGGGTCTTCTGCAGCCGGGTCTGTCACTTTGCCTCTGGACGACTCCGTCACGCGTCCTGAACGCGCCCGGCTCGGTGGCGAACGCCGGTATGACACGGGTATGGGGTCGGCGGGAGGTGAGAACCTTGCAGCCGACGCGGCGAGATGCGGACCCACCGTCGACATTTACGGCTCTCTCGCGGCGCCGACGAGAAAAGGTCTGAATGAACCTCGCGCTAGCCAGTCGCGTCAACAAGAGCCTGCTCTCTCGTCACCGTTACTCCCCTGATACCAGAGCTACCTCATACCTGTGCCTGCTCTGTCGCCACGAATGACAGCCGTTCATTGAATGCTGGCGGAAGGGTGAAATCAAACATGAACCCACATGCTTGCGTGACAAGAAAGCGACCACACGGTCTCCGGCGCGTGCTGTCCACCTTGATCGTGTTACTCCATGCCGTGGATACGAATGAGATTCATCCTCTGCAGCCGACCGTGTACGCGTCGTTAGTGTGCCGCTGCTATCCTGATTTAAACTGATCTCGTCCAGCGCTGTCTCTCACGGCCATTCTATGCTGTACTTGTGCGCATGCAGCCTGTCGATTTCCTTACAATACATAGGACACATTGCCACCTCATTTCTCAAAAGGTTACTGTCAGCAAAAAGGTTACTGGGGCAAGCTCTTTCGTGTTTCAAATGGTAAGAATGACGTCAAAGAAATGCCTCAACAGAGGGGAAAGTTATAAGAGGAACGGATCAGCCAGCATCAGAAAAGAACCTTTGAAACACACTCTGGCCGCTGGAAACGACCTTGCCCTCTTATTATTGACCTCGAGACGTCCCAACCGCTTTGTTAATGATTTGACCACTCTTTCATAATCCCTCCATAACATTGGGTTCCTTCACGACACATGTAACTGCTACGGTAATGGGCGTCACCTCCTGTGCCGATTATAACGCGAGGCGGCGAAAAGTGCGCTCTGGCAGTCAGGCCTGAACCCACGACTCGGCACAGCGTCATGGATGAACGCTCCATTAACTAATCTACTGCCGTCCTCTACATATCCTCCGTTCGGCCCGTGGCCAGCGACACGGCGCTGATGCAGCGGGGAGATCTCACTCACAGTGGTCCAAGCTTCCCGCTCCGAGCCGAGCAGAACGGCGCCATGCTGGGCGCCGGCCGGCTTCGCCTGCAGCTGGCGCAGCTGGCTGGACATGCGGGACATGGTGGCCGTTCCGCCCGGCGAGTCCATCGGGTCTGCGGAGGGGAGGAAGTTACAGTGTCGGGCATGCGATACATGGTGGCCGCTCCGCCCCGCGAGTTCATCGGGTCTATGGAAGAGACAGCCTTTCAGCGTCGGACATGCAAGACAAGGCGGCCATTCCGCCAGGCGAGCCATCGCGTCTGCGAGGGGAGGACGTACAGCGGCGGAGATGCGAGACATGGTGGCTGCTCAGCCCGACGATTCCATCATGTGTGCGGACGCGAGGATGGTACGGAGCCAGACATTGGAATGTAGTGATCCCCCCGAACGGCGAGTCCATCGGCTCTCTAGAGGGGAGACGCTACAACGCCTGGCACATGTCACTGGACCATGTGCGTCTGACTCGCCACTTTGCTGCAGACTTTGATTTAAGTGGCCAGTGACACGTCGGTCGGCGAGTCTATTGAGGATGTGTCGAGGGGAGAGCATACAGCTGGCTGAACTTGAGACAGAGTGGTCATTACGCCCGGGTAGTTGATCAGGACTGGAGGACGCTAGAGCGCCGGACACCCGTGGCATGCTGACTGTTTCACCACGCGTGCCATCGGATCTGCACGCAGAGGAACTTACAGTGCTAGATATCTGAGACATGGCGGCCTCATCGGATCTGAGGAACAGGACATTTCGGCGTTTGAGGTAAAAGCCAACGCACCAGTCAGGTTCGGGAGGGGGCAAGAAGTTCGGACGTGGCAAGTGCCAGCACAACTCGAGCCATCCCATCTGCCGAGGGGAGACAATGCCGTTACTGGATACTCATAAAAAGCAGCCTACAGGCAGTCCACCCGGCCCACACAGCTACTGAAGCACTGATGCCATGGTCAGCTGGGCACCACACATAGCAGTCAGGGCCTGGCGGCCATACTGCTGGCCCGTCCACAGAGACGGGGGCGCACGCACGCAGTTTGGCAGTTGGGATCGCACGTGGTACTGGAGCACGTCGGGCTCACGACTGACGTGGGGATGGTGGAGCAGAGATATATGTCCAATTGGCATTTATAAACCACCGCTGCCAATCAATGGCTAACGCTTTACGGAGCGGAGAGACCACAAAAATACACGACAGTTAATCCTCATTTCGAAACAGGACGGAACAAACAAATGATCCCGCACTTTGTATCAAATGAGCCTTGAAACTTTCCAAATATGCTGGGGGCATCTCACAGAAGCCTTACTGATTCCGCTCTACGATGACAAGTTAATAATGGAAACTGAAAACAGGATCTGTCATCATTCGAAATCATAATAGAACAGTCTTGCAGCTATTTCAGGAACAGAGCTGAAATGCTCGAATGAAAATGTGATGTAGTAATGATGAGACGGCCTCATAACTATTTCAGACAAATCACATGCCATATAGCCCAGGTGTTAATCTGGGTATAAAATGTCATGCTGACTGCAATATCATGGGCTTATGATAAGCATCACCGGTATCCACATTGCCGCCGAACGGTTGCTGAATCTGTTTCCACCAACGCGCCCGACACATAAAGCCCGGCACTTCCGCCTTCTTCTATGTGATCCACGACCATCCATACGTAACAAAAATTAGCCCATGCTTCTTTTAAAGCATGCCAATAGCTATTTGATGTTACTAGTTCATGCCGTGTCATTATTCGCTGCAAGGTCGCGAGTGACAGTCTGTTCGCTCTCATGTCGGCGGCAAGTAAATCGCGATACCGCCGGATCAGGGTGGCACGGCAACACGTTGGCGATGACAGCTGAGTGAGTCTACGTTTGGGGATTCGGGGATGATTTCACCCGATAACAAATATCAGAGGTGCCAAGCGCAATGAACTTTAGTTCACATAAATCACGAGCGAATATGCATACACACCACTAATTACCCCTGTTGAAAATGCTGGCTACACCGCTTCCGAAGAAGACGTCTGTGCTTCATTGGCGAAGAATACTACGCATGCATCATGTCACTGGCCCACTTTCCAGGGTCAGGATGTGAGTCTCTGTTGTTTTTTTTTTTTTGGCTGTCTCTGCCCCTGTCTCTGTCTCTGTCTCTGTCTCCGCCTCTGTTCCTGTCCCTGTCTCTATCTCTGTCCCTGTCTCTGTCCGGTCTCTGTCTCTGTCTGTGTCCCTGTCTCCGTCTCTGTCTCTGCATCTATATCCGTATCTGCCCCTGCCCATGTCTCTGTCTCTGCCTCTGTCTACCTCCGCTTCTGCTAGGGGTAGAAGTCAATCTCGTCACCGTCGTGACATTGTTGGAGGAAGCTGCTTACTCGAGGGGCGGTGGTTTTCTTGCTAACAACACCACTAATTAAACCCGAGCGATGCGGAATTAGATCCGCCGCTTGGCGGAGCGAGCGCAACTCATACGCACAGTGCGCTGGAAAGCGGCTCACAATAACTGAAAGGAGCTGCTAAAGCTCCGGCGGCGGCCGACCCTGAGCCATATTAAATTGAAATGAAGCCTCTCCATCAGCATGATCGCCATGCCACGCCGGTGCTTACAAACCAATGAGTGATGCACGCGTGACACTGTGCAATAGTGCTCGCTTAAAGGTCGCGTGCCGGGTCATCGCGGCACAAGACGTGACACTGTGCAACAGTGCTCGTTAAAAGGTCGGGTGCCGGGTCATCGCAGCACAAGACGTGACACTGTGCCATAGTCCTCGCTAAAAGGTCGGGTGCTGGGTCATCGCAGCACAAGACGTGACACTGTGCAATAGTGCTCGCTAAAAGGTCGGGTGCCGGGTCATCGCAGCACAAGACGTGAGACTGTGCAACAGTGCTCGCTAAAAGGTCGGGTGCCGGGTCATCGCAGCACAAGGCGTGACACTGTGCAATAGTGCTCGCTAAAAGGTCGGGTGCCGGGTCATCGCAGCACAAGACGTGACACTGTGCAATAGTGCTCGCTAAAAGGTCGGGTGCCGGGTCATCGCAGCACAAGACGTGAGACTGTGCAATAGTGCTCGCTAAAAGGTCGGGTGCCGGGTCATCGTAGCACAAGACGTGAGACTGTGCAATAGTGCTCGCTAAAAGGTCGGGTGCCAGGTCATCGCAGCACAAGACGTGACACTGTGCAATAGTGCTCGCTAAAAGGTCGGGTGCCGGGTCATCGCAGCACAAGACGTGAGACTGTGCAATAGTGCTCGCTAAAATGTCGGGTGCCGGGTCATCGCAGCACAAGACGTGACACTGTGCAATAGTGCTCGCTAAAAGATCGGGTGCCGGGTCATCGTAGCACAAGACGTGACACTGTGCAATAGTGCTCGCTAAAAGGTCGGGTGCCGGGTCATCGCGGCACAAGACGTGAGACTGTGCAATAGTGCTCGCTGAAAGGTCGGGTGCCGGGTCATCGCAGCACAAGACGTGCGACTGTGCAATACTGCTCGCTAAAAGGTCGGGTGCCGGGTCATCGTAGCACAAGACGTGACACTGTGCAATAGTGCTCGCTAAAAGGTCGCGTGCCGGGTCATCGTAGCACAAGACGTGAGACTGTGCAATAGTGCTCGCTAAAAGGTCGGGTGCTGGGTCATCGTAGCACAAGACGTGACACTGTGCAATAGTGCTCGCTAAAAGGTCGGGTGCCGGGTCATCGTAGCACAAGACGTGAGACTGTGCAATAGTGCTCGCTAAATGGTCGGGTGCCGGGTCATCGCGGCACAAAACGTGAGACTGTGCAATAGTGCTCGCTAAATGGTCGGGTGCCGGGTCATCGCGGCACAAAACGTGAGACTGCGCCATAGTGCTCGCTGAAAGGTCGGGTGCCGGGTCATCGCAGCACAAGACGTGCGACTGTGCAATACTGCTCGCTAAAAGGTCGGGTGCCGGGTCATCGTAGCACAAGACGTGACACTGTGCAATAGTGCTCGCTAAAAGGTCGCGTGCCGGGTCATCGTAGCACAAGACGTGAGACTGTGCAATAGTGCCCGCTAAAAGGTCGGGTGCTGGGTCATCGTAGCACAAGACGTGACACTGTGCAATAGTGCTCGCTAAAAGGTCGGGTGCCGGGTCATCGTAGCACAAGACGTGAGACTGTGCAATAGTGCTCGCTAAATGGTCGGGTGCCGGGTCATCGCGGCACAAAACGTGAGACTGTGCAATAGTGCTCGTTAAAAGGTCGGGTGCCGGGTCATCGCAGCACAAGACGTGAGACTGTGCAATAGTGCTCGCTAAAAAGTCGGGTGCCGGGTCATCGTAGCACAAGACGTGAGACTGTGCCATAGTGCTCGCTGAAAGGTCGGGTGCCGGGTCATCGCAGCACAAGACGTGCGACTGTGCAATACTGCTCGCTAAAAGGTCGGGTGCCGGGTCATCGTAGCACAAGACGTGAGACTGTGCAATAGTGCTCGCTAAAAGGTCGCGTGCCGGGTCATCGTAGCACAAGACGTGAGACTGTGCAATAGTGCTCGCTAAAAAGTCGGGTGCCGGGTCATCGTAGCACAAGACGTGACACTGTGCAATATTGATCGCTAAAAGGTCGGGTGCTGGGTCATCGCAGCACAAGACGTGAATTAAAAATCAAAAGCCCTTCGTCCTTGTTTCAACGCAGGAGAAATGCATTGATCGTGTTTCGGTCCGTTCTCGCCTCCCGTCGTCTTTTTGGAAGCCTTTCCGCCATGTTTTCTGCCGGACTTTTGACCGACCGGGCTTGCGAGAGATCACCCGGGGGCAGCATCGCAGCCCGTCCACTGAGCCGGATCTGGCCTCTCAGCCGCTGGCCACCTCACCACAGAGCCGCCGTCCGGCCGTTCGTGGCGAGCGAGCCGAAACAGTGGCCTAGGCGGGCCCTGAGAGGCCGCCCGGCCGGCACGTCCCAGCATGTTAGCGTTTTCAGCCGGCCGGCAGCGCGCGCGCTCGCCGCCAGCGCAGTCCTGGGGCCGTCGGCCGACTGTCGGTGACGGGCCGACAACAGGCCGGCAGACACCCGCCAGCTGGGGTGTGGCCGACGCATATTGGCAGACGGTGGCTCGCGATGCTGCAGTCGGAGAGGGGCCGATGAGGCAAGGTGAGGTCGGATGTCTGGCCTCAACGACCATGGCTAGAGACAACAATGCAGAATACAAACGATGTTAACTCCCAGTCTTCTGCACGTGCGTTCTTAGTTTTATCAAATGTTCGGAATGCCTCTCCGCAAATCGCAGCCCATCCAGCATTTATACCCGGCTTTCCGGCGGCCACATTATTACTCCAGGCTTCCGGCTTAAGTCGGCTGAATCAATCACACCTAAAGCTCACACAGATGATACGCCCAAAGCTGCCCGCTGCCATAAATCAGCGGGGCGATCAGCCAGGCCAAACGTGCGTACGGCCGCCACTGCCACTCAAACTGGGCGGCGGCCCTCCGGTAGTGAGCCAGGAGGCCGAGGTTTGCACCCCGCTGGCGCACCGACGACAACGGACGACCCGGAGGACCCCGAGGCCGCAGTCACGAAGGCCGCGCCGCGCCGACCGACGGCTGGTGCGGGGCCGCAGCTATCGAGCTGTGTACGCGGATGACACCACGAGCCGCCGACTGCCACAAATACCGTCCGGTGACGTCTCCCCGGCTAAACGACACATGACGCGTGGCTGTCGGCCGGAAACCCATGTGAAACATTGCCCAGTATTCAAGGCAATGTTTCACATCGGAAGATATTGGATCAAGCATCAGATATGATGAAATCAGCTCATTTATCACAGTTGGTACTTTTAGAGGGAATGTTTGACATTGGAAGGCATTGGACCACACATCACCTTTAATGAAATAAGCTCACGTATAACGGTTGCTATACTTTTAAATAGAAAAAACTGCCATAGACAACAAAATATCTCCTCTATTAATAAGGCAGGGCGAATACTTATTCTCGTAAAATTACCAGGTAAGTGTAAAGATAGATGCATCGATATTTCGGCTAATGCCTTTATCGAAACACATTTCAGTGATAAATTCGAAATTGGCTGCCGATTCTACGCGATCTTTCAGTTCCCTTTTTAACAGCGAGCCACAGTTTTTATAGGTCACCAACATTTACGAGATTAAACAAGGAGCAGTTGCAAGGCATTAATACGATGCAGTGTACATCTAAGAATTACAAAATGCGAAAAGTACACGTGCACGCAGGCGAATTCAAGTAAACAGGCGTCACTTAAGCTTGAATTCGTTCGAACATCACTTTACTTGAATTCATTTGCATGCACACGTATTTTTCGCGCATCTTCATTTTTAGATATACACTGTGTTGTAGCAATGGTTGGCAACTGCTCCTTGTTTGATCCAAATAATGTTAGTGACCTATAAAAACTGTGGCTTGTTGTTAAAAAAAACCTGGAAAATCAGCAGAATAGGCAGACATTTCGAATTTACAAAAAAATATTCGGATTTATTTATCCATTCTCCCGGTTACTTTACGACGAATACGGCTATTCTTACTACCTTATTGATATAAGCAATGTTCCTCGCAAATGTACTCAACAACTTCCACAGTTTCTCGACTTAGTCAATATCCCCCTCAATACATCACTGTTTGAATGCATCATCGTACCTTAAACAAACATTGAGAACCGATTGGCGACTGTTGCATCTGGAAATCGTGTTCACGAACATCAGAGATCAGTGACTCGACAATTAAATTTTTGTTTGGCCTTGATCGCCGCATCACTTATGGAACCGAAGGATGTGAATGACGTTTTTATGACGTCAGCAAAATGTTTACGGACTAAGCGGGATTCGAACTCCAGGCCCGCCGGAAGTGTGACATGCGACCAGTTGCGCTTCGCACATCTCCAGCGAACGGCGTGTGTCGGTGCGGACGCCCTCGTTGGACGTACCTTTTTTGATGGCTCCCACGCGGCTGCGGGCCTCGGCGAACAGCGCCTTCACCTCCCGCTCGTACCGCTTGCTCAGCGACTGACCATACACCGTCTTGAGCGTCTCATACCCCCTGCACGCAGCGGTTGGGGGTCACTTTGGACAGACACGGTGGGGAGGAGTCGAGACGGCAGCTCGAGCGGAGGTCCCGGCTTTGCCTGCGCCAACAGAGGCGGTACAGATTGCCGTTAAAATATATCGCTGGAAGTACATAATTTTAGGTTAATATCATATATATGATCTTTGTCGGGACCGCGAAATGTGAAATGATGGGAGACAATGACCAGGAGGAGCGGAAAATTTACCCCTGAAGTCGAGCACATTTGTCTGGTTACCCATTGACAATTGTATTCCTCATGTCGAACCATAATCATTATTTTGCGATTGGCGAAAAATCGTCTTCGAACATAGCTACATCACACAAATTACGTGTCTGTACGCAAAAGATGAAAGCCAGGCAGGGGCTTCCGTTTTTTTTGCGAAAAGCTGGAATGAGCAGCTCGTAATAAGGTCTCCCACAGCTCAGCGGGCTTTAGGAACGGCTGATGCCTTGATCTGTCCAAAGAAAACCAAACAAACGTCACATTAGCGAAAACATCAATACTGGATGTTGTTATCTCAGCAGGTTGTTTGGCCTCACCAAGATGAGACAGCAAGACAGGCCAGCATAAACGTCACTTAATGTTGTTGCTTGTCCAAATGTATCACGCTAAATTATCACAATAAGTAAGGCACACATGTATTATTTTCATGGGCTCCCCTTCAGAGATTAACCAAACACAGACGGAGCGACAAAAAATCCGGACCTCCGTACAGGCTGCCAATGTCGCACCCAACGTAAGAATTCTGGTCTTAGTCGTGGTCAAGAATTAATCGACTAAGAAAAAACAGTTTCGTTTTCACTGACGCCATCAAACCGAATAACCATATGCATTTCACAAATCCATTTCCACCACACCAAGACGGCCATACAAGTCAAACCTGAAAACAGGCAACCTTACACACATACACGACGAACTCCCCCAGCGCCCAGCTGCTCGGAATGGCCAGCTCAAGCTTCCTGTCCTGCACCCATCGACCTACACCCGTCACCACTCATTACGGCCGGGGCGCTCACGGCTCCGCAGCAGGCATGCGGGCGAGCCGGCCGGCGCCACCAGCCGACCGCGGTCACATCGGCTCCTCACCTGTTGTCGACGGCCTTGGTCCAGTGCATGAGCTCGGAGTAGGGCTGCAGCTTGAGGTGCTGCGAGCTGTGGCTGGGCAGCTGCAGCGAGTCCTCGGCTGGCACTCCGTCGTTGCCCTGGGGGTGAGGCGAGGCGCGCTGGCGTTACAGGCGGTACCTGAGGGTGGTGGCGATGCCGCCGCCGCCGCCGGCTCGCGAGTCTGGTTTGCGTTTTGTTTTGTTTTTGCTCCCGGAAAACGCGCATCTTATAATATACGTCTTTACTGTTGTGATGATTTTTAACGTTTGCGTTTAGTGCTATTTGATGACCTAACACATAAAAAGGACATAAAAATAAAACGCAACACAACACATAACTACATTAAAAACACATGAACATACACAAACAAAAGGGGGTGGATGCACACGGCGCGGCTGACGTCGACTAGTCCGCTCTGTGCTGACTGTGAAGGTGCTGACAAGGTTCAGGTCACTCTCAGTCTGTCTGCCTGTCAGCGACGACGGAGCGAGCACACTTCAGCGCCAGGTGGCTTCCAGGAGGACCGGCCCAAGAACAGCGCCGTCCGAGCGCCAGACGACGGCTGTCGGCGCCAGACGCGGCGCCGGAGACGCGTCGTCTGGCAAGCCGGCCGGCGGGGCCGACCAGCAGCGGCTGTCACTCGGACCGAGCCGGCGATTTTCCGCCGCGCTCGATCATGACTGGGCAGCTCGAGCGAGGACGGGCCGCCCAAACGCACCGGCAGTCGGCCATCGCAATTAGTCGAGCGGGTCAGAAGCGGGCACTGTGGTCTTTGGCGGGGCGCAGCGCCGGCGGCCGATGCCGGCAGAGTTTGGGTCCCGTGACATGCGTGTTTATTGACTGGCGCGCCCGGGCCGGTTCGTTAACGGGTCTTAGGGCAGGACGCAAGGCCAGACAGCGATAACAAATAGAACATGTGGGCGCTGCGCGCATTAGCGGGAAAAGACCTCCCGGCCGGCTGATATTGAACGGCCGTCCGGCAGCCGCCGCACTGCCACTGCTTGTCACAAACTGGCTATTCTGAGGTCCGGGGTGGCGGGCTGCAAAGGTCACTTGTTAAAGCAAGAGTCGACAGCTGAATTGTTTTGCCGTCCTGGTCCGATCTACAGCGAACTGCTATTTATAGTTTTCATCGTGGACTGAATTCATCCATCCGTTGCAATGTGAAATCTTACAGCGAAGCTGGCTCCATAAATCATCTTGACGGTGCAAAGGAAATGGGAAGCCGCATTGAGCAAGCAACAATCGATCCGGCCGCGATCCACCCGCCCTCTCGTCTTATCCCGCATCCTCCCGAAGCCCGTTTATCCGGGACAAGCACATGCACCAACCGTGAGTGGGTTTAAGCGCCCGCTGGTTGAGGCCTCGTTCGGCCAACGAGCACATATCACGTACGTGTTTCCGAGCGGGGATCATTACTGGCCGCAGGGGCTCTAATCAAAACCGAACCAAGCGCATCCCGCAATACCGGGTGAGTATTTCCGCTCAAGCACCAGTCACTCCTGGTCACACGCTGCGCATATGACACCTCTGCACTATCACGCGCGAGGCGATTAATGAACATACGCTAGGTACACCTGGCAAAGATAAATGCGCGTTGGCATTTAAAAGAAAAATACCTTGAAGATCAAAAGTCACGTGCTTGACGTCATCAACGTCAGCAAAGTAGCGGGGGTGTTTCCCCTCAAGGTTTCACTGGTTACTTTCAACTGATTTCACTACTGGGGCCGTCAGATGAGCACAAAAGGCGATTAAGCGATACACGTAAGATATCATCGTACTTTTTGCGTTCGTCAATGCGTCAAGAAGCATCCAAATATTGAGAAAGGAAGGATTTAGACCCGCAATCCCGTAATTCACAATGACGCCAGATCCGACTTATCACCGACCGGCGGCGGCGAGCGGCGGGGCTGTTGGCCTTTCTTATCATCCTTGACCACATGACCAAAAATGTCAGGCCGGCTGCGACAAAACAGATGCATTTGAGATCCGGAAGTAAAGCTTCTCAGGCTCAATGACGTAAGGCCACTGACGTTGTCTACATCTGCGTGTTACAATCCGACTACCTCCGTTAAGCGCCGTGTACTACGGTGAAACGTTCTCTTCCACAGCCTAGCGCCGTGGCAGCACCGCCCTAAAGGTCACTGCTGGCAGACGCTGGGCGAGATAACCGCTTGAAAATAAGTATATTAGGAAGAGCACAATGGTTCAGGATTACTGAATAGGTTCCAAAAGGATTATCGATGAACAACGTGATAACTGAACTGAAACCGAAACATTCTAAGCATACGCTGGCTTCGAAAGACGCGCATATGCCTCTTACACAGCATACTGCACTTGAATTTGTGCACGACGATTAAACGTATTAGCGATGTGGATGATGTTCGTGCAAAACACTGCATGATGGTGTGTACATCGAACACCAGCAGGTGTGATGACCAGAAATTGGCAGGGCAGTAAAGGGCGCCGGAAAATGTCATGTGTGAAATTCTTGAATATTATTCAATCTGAATTCAACCTAGCCATGGGTGCAGGAACGGACACAGCGGAGGATATGCATCTCCCCTCCCCCCCCCCCCCTGAGAATGTTAACCAATGGTGATGTATAGGAAGAATCGACTTCGGAATACGTAAGCCCCTCCCCCTCCCCCCCCCCCCCCCCCACACACTTTCTGAGACCTTGCTACATGGGATGTCTCAGAAAATGATGGGCCTAACCTGCATGAGACCCACCAGAACTGCAAGATAAAGCATGCGGTGAGTGGCGCGGAAGCCCGCAGATGGATATGTCTAGACCTGCTGGAACACTGGACAACAACTGCAATCACTTGACATCTACAAAACTCCGATTAAGGTAGCATTTCTTTTTATACCATGACCGCCACTTACCATATGAACAAAGAAGTTGTTCATCTGCCGGTACACAGCCTGCGAAAACCGGGCCTTCAGCTTCTCGAAGAGTTTCTTCTGTTCAGCTACTGCTGCCATCTGTTGCAGCTGGGGGTCAACTGAAGTTGCCGACAGTCTCAGCAGGGACTGCGCCGCCTGACAGGCGTCCTTCAGGCCGACGGCGGTGGTCAGGTCCGGGTCGGACAGCACCTGGCGGTCCTTGGTCGGCAGGTCCGGCTGAGGGCACGGAAGGCCTGACTCAGTGCGGCGGGCGCGTCTGCTGGGGCGACATACACCCACCGGCGACAGCCGGGATGGCGCGGAGGCCATGACTCCGGCGAGGCAGCGCCGACCAACATCACGGACGCCCATATCATCATCTATAATTCGATCCATATCACACCATCCTAACGGAGGAGAGGACCCGTTTCCGCCATGTCTTACACACGTTGCTGGGATCTGGCCTTCACAATGACAGCACCGCCCACTCTGCAGCCTCGCCGATAGCACCCACGGCGGGGGTGACCCTGCCCACACCAGCGACGAACACACTCAGGTCCTTCACGTCGCAGTGATGACTGCAGTCTGCCCTGAAAATATCAGCTGGGCCTACAGATGCCAATGACGATGGCCGTGTCGCCTCCCACTGCGCTGCAAACTTAACGATACTGCTGGCATGCTCCGACTCTGGTCGCCCTTCCCTCCCTTCCCTCCAACGCACCAGCATGCCCTCCAGCGTCTGCAGCAGCTGGTGGTGGTTGCGCTGCGTCACCTCCATCTTGCTCTTCTCCCGGCCCATCTCCCTGAGGCTCTGGCGCACGGTGACGAGCGCCTGGTCGTACTGCTCGAGGCGCTCCTCCACCGCCGAGATCTCGTCCACGGCCCGCTGGATCACCGACATGAGCGCCGCCACCTGCTGCTCCGACGCCATGATCGACTGGATGTTGGCCTGCGGGCGGCAGCGGACGCAGTCAGATGTCACCCGGCCGCTGCCGCGTCCGCGTGACTCGGATGATTGCTGGCGTGGTGTGGGCGGTGCGGTGCTGTGACGGAGTGGTGATGTGACGGATGTCACGACGGAGTGGTGTTGTGACGGATGTCACGACGGAGTGGTGTTGTGACGGAGTGTTGTGACGGATGTCATGACGGAGCACTGAGGCGCAGTGCTGCCACCTGCTGCACTGTGACGTTATCATGAACTGGATTATGCATGAGATCGGGGTACGAAGCGTCAGCTGCCGATGTGACACTGTGACGGGCTGAGTATTGGTTTGTGGGGTGTGGAGAGATGCAGTGACACCGCCCGTGTTATAGCGTTGTGAAGCACGGGCAGCCTTATGATCAGCCTGTCAATCAGTGCTGCCATCTGCTGCGATACCGCCTACGTCCAGATGTTGGCCGTTGGGACGTGAGGGAGCTGCTGCCACCTGGTGCACTAGCGTTACCGTGGCGTGGGCCAGTAGATGGTAAGTCATTTGGTCCGAATTCTGCCATTTTGAAGCCGTATTGAGATCAACGGCACGAAAAAGTCAAAGTGGGGCAAACTTGAAACAAAACCCAATTTTACGTAAGTTGTTCAGTGCATTAGCGAGGAACATTGTTCACATAGATAAGACAGTAGTAGTAGCCTTATTTCTCGGCGAAAAAGCAGAAGAGTGGGGATATAGATGGGTTGATATTTTAGCAACATCTCTTTTTTCAAAACAACAATGGCATAAGTTACTTATAGAGTTCAAAAATAGCATTTCTCCTGTTATTTCAATAAAGGCATGTTGCCGAAATATGAAGCCATCTAAATCTCAATTCTCCTGCTTTTTCTCCGAGGAATACGGCTATTATTTCAGTCTTATCTATGAAAACCCAATGTTATGGAATATTTCGTGCGCCTGAATATATCCCGCGGGAAATGCAATGTGGGACAGTTGGACAACAGCTGGACTCAGCGTTTGTACTCAGCGCAGCAGCAGCGTGGCGGACATCAAGTGCGAATTGCTATATTCGTATCCGCGAGGCATAGAAAATTAACAAGACATCAGCGTAAGACAAGAGTGGGGCAAACGCAAGTCTGTGTAAAAGCCATCTGGCTGGTTAACGTATCAAACATACACCAGATCACCCTTTACTGCGCTTGTTTTCATTGAAGTCTGGGATACCCATCAGCAATGACAGACGTCACAAATTCGTCGAGCTAACCATTGCCTGCTACATGAAACTATTCGTCTGCTATTAGCTCCCTCCACCCAGAGTTTTCCAGTGGCCAACCCTACCCCGACCCACCAATGCAGCACAGCTTACATTCAGGCTTGGTGCGCTCCCTTATCATCCTCGGGAGGACGCTGGCATGGCTGACTCGCCGGCCAAGCGGCGCGGCTCCAGGAATTCGTCAACCGCAGAGAGCATTGATGTTCTTTGGACCCGTCTTTACACCTCGACCACAAAACTGATCTCAGATAAACGTCACCCGAAAAAGCAGCACTGTTTGTCATACCCACTTCCTCGACAGCAGCCTCCTCCTCCACATCGGTAGCAGCACCGGCGCCGAGACCCGTTCGTTCTCACGAAAACCACATCACCCCTGACCTGACTGCCAGTTAGACAACTGTCCATGACCCCTATCCAAGACCGGAGAGCTCCTAACTGAGCTGACTCCTCCTCGAGCGTTCCCCGAGAGGAGGCGCCGAGCTGGACCGCCAGAGTCGGACGGCGTCCTCACCCCGTCCAGACCGGAGAGCTCTTGAATGAGCTGACTCCTCCTCGGGCGACCCCCGAGAGGAGGTGCCGAGCCAGACTGCCGGAGAGCCGGGCGGCGTCCTCACCCCGTCCAGACCGGAGAGCTCCTAACTGAGCTGACCACTCCTCGGGCGTTCCCCGAGGGGATGCGCCAGGCCGGGCCGCCAGAGTCGGACGGCGTCCTCACCCCGTCCAGACCGGAGAGCTCTTGAATGAGCTGACTCCTCCTCGGGCGACCCCCGAGAGGAGGTGCCGAGCCAGACTGCCGGAGAGCCGGGCGGCGTCCTCACCCCGTCCAGACCGGAGAGCTCCTAACTGAGCTGACCCCTCCTCGGGCGTTCCCCGAGAGGAGGTGCCAAGCCAGACCGCCAGAGAGCCGGGCGGCGTCCTCACCCCGTCCAGACCGGACAGCTCCTGACTGAGCTGCTCGGCGAATGCCTCGGCGTTGCTGACGGCCGTCTCGTGCTCGGACATCATGCGCAGCAGGTCCTCCTCCTCCTGCGCCGTCAACGCCTGGTAACTGTCGGCCTCCACTACCAGCTCCGACACTGCCGGTACAGGTGCGCACCTGGTCAGTTACTGTCGGCCTCTCCACCGGCCCAGTTAAAGCCCGGGGGCAAATGACGGATCCGAGCAGGCCCCGTCCAGACAGCGCCTGGTCTGAGTGACCCACCACCACCGCAGCGGCCGCCGGCCACGTGGGCCCGGTCATCGGGAGAGCGTTACGGGAGACAGCAGGCGGGCGGCGTCAGCGCCAGCCGCCGGTAACTCCGCGGGCCATCTGGTGGCCGTGGTCGCCAACAGACGAGCCATGTTTGCAGGAGACCCGATACTCTGTCATTTTTGTCTATACCGTTACCCAACAACAGGTAACCAGGAGTGCCCCTTCCTCTATCCCAGCGCCGCAATAAACCGCACGTTAACACAAGAAAACATAAAATTGCATTCTCGCACGCACTCACACTCGCACAAGTCGCACTCGATTTTATCGAAGTCGGCACGAACAACTCAGAAGAAGAAACAAACATAAAGAAGCAGGCCAAGAGGCGGTGTGACCCTGCAGGAATCATGTCATGCAATAGGCAATGATAAATCTTATGAGTGGTCATAGCCCCTCTCACCTAAAAACACTGAATCTGATCATGGTCCCCGTCACCTGCCCGCACTTACGCCTTGATCATACTTCTGGCGTCCAGAGATGAAACACTATGCGTTAATTTTTGGTCATTTTGTGTTTTGCTATGTCTTTTGATTTGCCTCCTCAAGCTGGATTCCGTTATTTAAACAATTAGTTGAAATTTTCACAAACTTTTCGTCATTTTTACCTGAGTTTGTGAGAATTTTGCTTATAGTTTACATAACCAAATTCAGGAGCCAAAATAGCTAAACACGAGCATATAAGGCTTACCTTTGTAGAGCAGCTTTAAACTCACCTGGCCAAGACGCCCGCTTCATGAACCCCCACCCCCCACAGACACGCATGGCTACAATCCGTTCGCTAGGTCAGCACCGTTTCCCCACCTGGCGACATGGCGGCCCGCGTCTCAGCCGTCTGCCCGCCGCCGTCCAGAAACTCGGCCGGAATGTTGACAAACTGCGGCTGCTGACGGTGCAGGTGCTGGCTGCACAGCTACGACCAGACGTCACCGACCGGTCACCACACGGTCACGGCGAGGGGTCACCGACCGGTCACCACACGGCCACGGCGAGGGGTCACCGAGCAGTCACCACACGGTCGCGGCGAGGGGTCACCGGCCGGTCACCACACGGTCACGGCGAGAGGTCACCGACCAGTCACCACACGATCACGGCGTAGTCACGGGCGGTTACCACACGGTCACGGCGTGGTCACGGGCGGTCACGGGCCCCTGCCGGCGCGGAGCACAACACGTGCCACGTCCCGGCCAGCGGCGGGACGTGCCAGGACACGCGCGCAGGGAAGGCGGTAGGGCGACCAGCGCGACGGCATTACACTGTTACATCGGGATCCACACAGCTGTGGGTGATTTCCCCACTTGATTGGCGTTACACTGGTTGTCCGCACTTGATCACGCTACGCGGGGGCACACCGATCACACATCATTAGAAATATGGTGCATACTGAATGCGAGAGCAGTGGGTGACACATCTGGGGATTGGACATTCATATTCCTGACTGCACTTGCATGTGCTTCTGTGAGGGATAACTACGAGGGAGCGCCGCCACTGCAGTTTCAATTCATTTTGCGGGCGACAATGTCCAACAAGCACATGCACACAGTTGGCATAAATTTTGACAGATGTTCAGTTTCCGGCAACTTCCTAGATCACGCTAATACACCAAAGGGTGGCAAATTTAATGGGAAGGGTATGGAGATGCATGACTGCCCTCACCATCCACAGGTTGGCGATAAACATGTTACGCTCCAGTGGCGTGCTGGCCACCCATTTGTACATCTTCTCAAACTGCAAGTCAAGATCAGCAGTGTCCTGAAAGGGGAAGACAATCAGTGATTAACAGAAGCAGCCAGCTGTCCAAATACACAAGATTGTGTAATCAAGGAAATTATGTTATATACTGTTGCTGTCACATACTGTTTAATTTGAAACTCACACAGTGCCTTCCAAAGGGTTCACGGCAGTTTCACAGATGAATACCAATGACAGTTGCAGAGCATGTAGCTGTAACTAGTTTGCAATGTCAGTTTTTGTCTAACATGGAACATAATACATTGCTCTCCATTGTAATATTTACTTTTGTTTATGTGCATTCCCAGCAACTGTAAATCCTGAGGGAACTAGCATATAATATAAATACCACACTATATATGGATCAAGCCTGGCATTTCCTTGAAACCAAATGCAGCCAAAAGCACACCTAGATATTTAATGACATGATGGGCACATACTCGTTTCCCATCCTTGCCATCCACCAGTCGTAGATCCTGGAGGCCCCATGTTCTCTTCTTTTTGTAGTTGTCTTTGTCTAGCTTTTTGACAGTGCTGATGAAGCCACTCTTGTCCTTGCTCACAGACAGGCACAGGAAGTACGTCTTCTTTTTCTTTTCTAACTGAGAAACGTGAATGGCCTTAACTAGGCGTTCATCACTGGGCTCAAATATGCTCTTCTCCAGTGCAAACCTGATTGCTGTCATGGTTCCAATGTGAAGGGTTGCCTTCAACACAAGTCAGCTTGGAGTCCTCTGAAATCACATCACACCAAAGACATGATTGTGCTGATAAGGCATGTTCAAAGCAGGGTCATAGACAGTATCTTCCAAATGATGGACATAAGCAATGATGACCTTGATCTCCCAATTGCTTGGTATTGCAAGCTATGAATTGTGCATTACAGTACTTCAGTTTGAATATTTTTATCAGCTGAAATTATGGCACTGCAAGCTAAACTAAGCACTGCTTGTTAGGTATGCCCTGACTCCACCATCCAATCAAGAAATTTGAGTTAAATTCTGGCATCTTGTGGTGATTGTTCAATGCATTGCACTGCTTAGCATAGTACATCCTACCCTCTAAACTTGAGCAGCCATTGTCACCAGCAGCAGACCATTTCAGGTCGGGGTAAATAGCATTGGTCACTTGAAGGCATTGGTCACTTGAACCCACCTACCCATTCATGGGTAGGTTAGGAGGAAGGCACTCTTTTCAACCAAGGTCTTATGGGCCTCACAAACCAGGTCAATCATAACTTCACGCAATGCTGCACATATTCAGCAGCACCAGCCTACAAATCTGATATGCACTATGGAGTGCCAGATACACTTTGACCTGAGCTGTGGCCTGCAGCCACACTCACACTGTGTTCAAGTGTTTACTTTTATGCCCTCAGCCTTGGGTGAATATTTTTAAAATATGATCTATTTTTTCTGGTGGCGAGTCATAGCGTTGCTTTTCTATTTAACCTTGATTGCCCAATCATTTACGATCATCCATCATTGATTGAAAACGCAAGGATTGTTAAAGGACTTGCATTCCCTCCACCCATTCGCATCTCGCACTAACATGCGCACACACATGCGCATACTCCTGCACCTATGGCATGGCTCAATATTACTTGGAAATGGGTAATACGTGGCAATAACGACGCCTATAATAAGCAGGAACACACCCAAACATACCCCACCACATAAAATGGGTGGCAGCGCAGGGAGAACAACATTCGCGCAGGGAATGGAACTACTGCGTCAGAAACCCTCATCACGATTCATAATAGCATGTAGGCAAATTGAAAATGCCAGAGAAATGCCGTTCTCAAAACGGTAATAGCAAAAACAAGAGACGTCCGTTAAGTTAGCGACACATTCATTCTCAATTTCAATGTCAGTATTATTTTGCTTGAAATAAGGTTTTAATTCAAACGCAACCCACCGGTAAGGTCCGTAGAGTTAGAGACGGATTTGACTTAAAGTTCCAATACGATGTACAATTATGCGATTTGCATTTTATTTCTGTGCCATTCGCATTATATTTTTATGTTAGCCTCTCCCAAAGCCACTGTTGAATTCGCCCCTGTAGTGCGGAACTGAGACGTGCGTCGCGCAAGCACGGGCGTACTCCTGCAGATTCGCTGATGAGGTGCGAACAGTAGCGCAGGCGGGAGGGGGGGGGGAGGGCACAGGGGCACGTGCCCCCCTACGTTCCGGGGAGCCTCGGGACCTACGATTAAGGGCCCAACTTGAGGGTCCGAAGGTGCCGAAAGGTAGGCCAGAGGTCGCATTCAGGGGCCCCGCCGCGGGGCCGGTCACTCCAACACCAGCCAGAGGGTCCTGCGCATTGTTCAGCCCCCCCCCCCCCCTTCCCTGAGTCTGAGCCTAAATGTCGGTCAGACACCACCGGTAACACACAGCCTGGTCTATGTCGGTATAGGCCTGAAACCTCACTTCCCAAGCAATAACAGAGCTGCGGTCTGCGACTTAAAGTGGTCCGAGCCCCTGTATCTACCAGGGGCACACATTGTTTAAAAGGGGTCCCGTGTTCTCAAGCGGCCCCGAGCCGACCAAAGGCAAGTCCAAAGAGCAGCCCGGGTGGCCCACCGGAACCGACGATGAAGGGTCCGGCTGGAGGGGCTAAGGGCCCTGCCTGGCTGTAAGTCATATAAAGAATCGCGATAAAAGAATCAAAAGTCGTGACCTGGAATATTAGTCAGATGACGATTGCGCCCTTTGAGAATCCACTGAGTCAATGCGGGCATCTAAGCCAGCCAGGGATCACCAACAACGAACAATTGGCTCCACGCCAGTTTAAGCCCGGGGGTTCACTTCCCAAGCAGAAGCAAGGCCGGGGCCACGATTTGCATTGTTCTTCGCCCCTGAAACGATGGCCGGGGCCCCTGTGTCAGTCAGGGGCCCACAGTGCCTGAAAGGTGGTTATATCTCGGCTCGTGGTCCGATTCGCCAGGAGTCGCGTTCGCGAGGTTCCGAAGATGGGTCAAAGGGCCTCTCGTGACCAAAGATCATGGGTCCGACTGGACTCGAGCCCGGTCCCTCGCCCGAAGTGCCGGGACCTCAAATGCCGTTCAGGTGGCTTCTACAACCCCCTGTTGTTGGGGTTATCCATGGCTATTGCATAGAGCTTCGGCACAAAGCTAACAATCGGTTCAATGTCCGTCTGAGTCCTTGGGATCCATTTCCCAAGCGGAAACGCTCCCGGAGCTCGCGAGTTACAATGCTCGGGGTTACTGACACAATGAGGGCTCCTTTTCGGCCTGGGGTCACAGTGCCTAACAGGGGTCTTGTGGCGGCAAGCAGTCCCGAGTCGGCCAGGAGCGGTGTTTGAGGGGCCCCAAAGAGAGGCCGAAGGGCCTCTTGAGATCAAAGATAAAATGTTTCATTGTAAGGATGAAGGGCCCAAAGGACTGACTGTATGTCAAATTAAGGAAAGCCGCCCGTAGGGCCGTAGGGCCATGATTTCAAATGTCAGTTAGAGGGCCTATTGTACCGATTAGGGACCCCTGAGACAAAGCGTTGCCCCGTTTCGGCTAGAGATCATCAACACCGAACAGACGGCTCAGTGTCGGTCTGAGCTCCGGGGGCCAGTTCCAAAGCAGGGACGGGGCCAGGCCCGCGAATTACGTTGATCTGGACCCCTGCAACAATGCAGGGGTCCTGGATCGGTCAAGGGTCCATAGCGCCTACAGAATATCCTGTGTCAATAAGGGGCCTCGAGTCGGCCCGGGGAGCATTTGCTGAACAGGGACGGGGACGGAACTCCGAATGCCACGGGGCCTCGTGCGTTGATTGAGGCTCTTCGACGGTGTGGCGGGGATGCACGGAAACATGAGAACTTATGATGAGTGTTCACATTGTAACAATGGAATGGTCATGTGTTGGCCAGGGTCTCCGGTACCGAATGGCAGCCTCTCCAACCTAATTTCAGCATGGGCTCGTTAAACCCGCCCTGATTTTGTTGTTTTTTATAACGCGAACTGACCGGGGTGGGGGGCAAAGTGATTCCCTGGTGTTTCCAAGCTATTGAAGACAGAGTTCAGCAAAGATGGATTGTTCGTAACGAAATGTTGCTATTGGTACTACTTTGTGTGTTGTTAGATCAATTATTGAACCCATTATTCCAGGTCAAAGGTTAAATTTTCCGCACAATTGCTACTTTTCAGCTGGACAACATCATACACACGAGACCATGCCCCGTGATGACACGAACATGCCCAGACATGTTATTTGTTCTATTCCGAGTGCAATCGAGTTTATTCCATGTATTTTGAGCATATATTTATGATTCATGTCTCCTTTAAAAAATGCTTCAAGTTTGTTTGAAGTTTTGAACTGAAATAGTCATCTTGAAGATCATTTTGTGCAGTTTACAACTCTGCCCTTATTTAGACCTAAACACCGCTAATAAAGTTGAGATGGGTGTGTACCTGAGCTACACGCTCGCGAAGATGCGTGAACTATTTCGGGAAGACTATTTCAAGGTTCGCCATGATAACGTCATTCAAATCTTGCTATTCCATCAGCCATGTGGCGATCAAGGCCAAGAAAACGCCGAATCGTTCATATTTGGCGTTCGCAGGCAAGATTTACATATCTAACAGTCGTCACTTGGCTCTCAATTATTGTAGCGCAAGGTACGACGACTTAACCGAACAGTGACGTATTTAAGATTATATTCAGCAGTCAGAGAAATTGCGTTGTCTAAAGCAGTTTTTCACTCAAATGTCTCCACCTCAATATCCTATTTCCTTTTTCAACATGCCAATTCAATATCGAACATTCCCTTTAAGGTACCAATGTCGGTGCGCCTCGCGGTCCTCGACATCGTCGGTTGCCGCGCGCCGCCCGCGCCGGCCGAAGACAGACGTGGAGTAAAAAAACTTTTAAAAAACGCCGCTGCTCCCATACCAAAAAAGGCTAGGAGCACGTTTTTGGTGTTACAGCACGTGCAATAAGTGCCCCCAGGCGTCTAAAACATGGACGACGATTTCACAACATGCTGGGGAGGCATCCTGAAAGACCTTGCAGGGGGTTGCATCGAGCCCCATATCATGACAAGAGTTATGCCGAACTGGAGTATGTGTGCCAAATCTGTGTGTGGACCACCTGCGGCGATCAGGGATCTTATGGCGTCGATAAGTGTTTCTATGTCAATCTGGGGCCAACTGTGCGGGTCAGAAGGCCTCTTTCGTCAGAGGGGGAGTCAATGTGGTGTGATGTATCCTTCTAAGGGCCCCGGATCGATAAGGGGATCCCGCCCCCTGTCGCCAGAATGACAGCCGGAAGACACCTCGTGGTGAAACGGAATAATCCTTCAACCTACAGCCGAGGGCAATGATGTGCCTCCTTGTATTCTTCTAAGAAGGCTCCTTGCCCGGAAAAATAGGGGGTCTCATTAGTGTTGAATAAAGTGGGTCAAATTGGCTTTAGAAATGAAAAAGGTCGTCCCATGATTGGCCGAGCATGCTCATTTTTTTCGCTGGATCCGTGTGAAGAAAACTAGTGAAACAAATTATATCAAAAGGTTTGAGCCTGCCCGCTCGCAATGTCAGGAGCAAGGACAGCGATAGTCTGGGTTGCAGCTTCTGTAAAACTGAACAGCGTCGACCACTGCATGTAACGCCAGGCGGCGCTCACCGTGCGGGCGGGAACGCTTGTCGTGAAATACTGCTTCCGAAGGGCTTTAGTGTTATGCTCTGGACAGATTAACCGGTATAGCAAAACGAAAAATAGAGATTCTACGTTTATCCTTCTAATTCCATCAACAGATTCCAACACCGCTTCGCGGTGCTGTAAAGGCCAATCCGTTCTTAGGTCAATCTAAAAAAAAACGCACAAGTAACATGTACTTTTGAACTGCCTTTAAAATGTGCGATTTGATGTCGTACAGAGTTCAAAGATACTCCTTTCAGATGCGTCACCATTTTCGTCCGCCCGCTGGCCATGGCCTAGTGGTGGCAGCGGGGCCAACGCTGCGCGGTGTGGGGAGGCTTCAACGCTTGGTGTAGAGTTTTCTGTTGCTGATATTTGCGAGTGCCCGTGTTCAAAACTACATTACATATGTTTATCCCTTAGTGACTCTGAGTAAATGTTGAAAATGTCCACAGAGCCCAGGCTTGGTCATGTTATCACAGATTGTTGCCTCATTTCGATCTACAATCTACAACGGTGGTGTCCTTAAATTCCCTGTAGAGCCCAGATCGAAATTCTGGCAAAGCCTCTGAGCTCTATCGGTTTTGAACGCGTTCATTAGACCACCGTGAAATGAAGAGCACTGGGGATTTATTTCATACAGTTTTTTAGCGTATGATTTCGTCAGTTTATTGACTATAAAGCACGGACGAAATCTATCTCACAATAGCTGCTAGCTCCTGTTCCAGTCACAGAAGGTAAAAATGACAACGTTGCAAAGAAAAGCATAACCTTATTAACAAATGGGCCATATCCGGCGATTTCCTTTTTTGTGGGGGGGGGGGGGGTATTTTCACTATCAGGTGGCCCTTTGTCAACCCCGTACCGCTCCCTCACCAAGGCTCTGGCAGCGCCCTTGAGTCGAAGTCCTCGTGGGCCCGGGAGCACACCAAAATGGTACACACCCGCGGCTGGCGGTGTGTGCAAGCTTCCTTAGCTCTTCACAAAAAGGCAAAGTTTTGCTTTCATAG